TTTTATGCTTGATTTACAGTTCGGACTGTCACCTTTCCAACGATATATAATATGTATATATTTCTTTCACGAGCGCCACTCTCAAACGATTCGAACGGCATCCAGCGGAATCGGGCACGAACTTATGCACTCATCCAATATCTTCTCCAAATCCCAAAGCTTGCAAGCCTTCTGTTTAAGTGAGCAGCGCCTTCTACTCAATATCCCTCCATACTTCTAGGCATCTCTTGTATACTTCTAGAGGCTTTGCTTCCCGCCATTTGATGTACTCATGATTATATTTACATATATGTCGAAGAACGCCCGTTAACAGATACAAGGAAAGTTCGACGTTGGAAAGCTGCAATCACAACAAACTGCCGAACGATTTTCTACTCGACTTGCAGTTCTGCTCTCTGAGAGCACTCATCAGCAACTCTGCAAACGAAACTATTGGATTTCGTAAAGGTGGCAAAAACAGCTGGTACGATGAGGACTGCCGTCCCGGACTCCATTTCCTTAATGATGCTTTTTTATTAAGGAACTCTTCTGACCGAACCCAAGGCGTCACTCATACCCATATTTGCCGGAAATAAATCCATATTAGGGTTCAGCATTTGCATTTTTAATTGCATTTTATAACACTATAAGTTCATTTCTTAGCTAAGGGAGTTCTGGGCAACATTCATGCATTGCCAGGTAAGTTTTTTATGAATATTCAGTTTCCCTGCAGTTGTCTCGCTGAATAATGAAATAGATATCTATAGTGCCTACTAATGACGAATTTCTTACTAGAATCGGGCCTTTCTGATCGATTCGGCAGGTCGGTACTATGTAGGAAGCGTATTTTGGCCGAGGAGAGTTTGTATAGTGGATACATAGTGTGTTTGGACATAGTTGTGCTTACCAGGATTATACTGCCAGGATTATACTGCTGTCAAACAAACTGAAATACATATGTTTGCTATAGATCTACAAACTTTTTTAGAACCGAAACTACCAATAATTTCTATTTCGGTTTTTTCAATTTACTCGTCATTGAAGTAATAGACTTTGGAAAAGTAAGCGAAGGTAGCTTAATGTCGGTTCATCCACTGAGCAAGGCACTGAACTATGTTAATCTAAGTCACGACTATGATTTCGGTCAGTCATAGAATATTCGAAGTATTCGCGAAGCTAAATTACTATTTCAAAGTTCTACAACAGGTATGAACTAATATTTAAATAATGAAATTATACCAGTTGAGAGTATGGCAGTAAGAGTCAGTCGCTTTTAAATTATCGTATTTAGGGCCGTTTTTTCGTGCGCCCGTTAATGTGAGGATCACGAAACAGGCAGTTAAATTTCACGGTATGGTAAATTCGTTTTCATTTTCTCGACCTTTTATTAAATACTTATTTAATATTAGATAAAAGGTGGCGGTGCTGTGAAGAAGAAGAAGAAAGGAACAACCTAAATCACCTGTTCTAAACGTAATTAAAATAAATATCTCTTTGCAATAAGGCACAGAGAGGCATCTTAAAATCTTGCCTCGACCTCATGAGTATAAAATACCCATCTATTTTCCATTATATTTATATATTAAATCAGCTGTTTTCTCTTTGTAAACAGAACAGAAGTCGCGGACGAAAAAAAAACTTGTTAAACAGTACTTTGACCTCCTGTTAAGGGTACTCTCCCCTGATTTTAGATTAAATTAAAAGCATATATTTGTAGAGTATTTTTTTTAAAAGGGATTTTGCAATACGATGAATAAGTTTCAAATGGTAGCTACTCGAACACACCTGTCTCACGCACGCTGCGAATTTTCAAAAAACTTTGAACGCATATTTCACGAAACCATGTTTTTTGTTCCAACTTCAAGTTTGATCTATCCATCCGATTTGTTCTATCTGAAAATTGTTTCAAAGATTATAGATTTTTGTACGTCTGAACCTAAGATTAGCATTAATAATTAATTATTTATATTTTTTAACGTAATTGAAGTGAAAAAAGTAGCAAAAAATTTGACTTTATTATTTGCAATGAGCATTATGCAATAAATCCATAGTTAAACCTGTTTCAATTTTCAGGATGTGGAAAATTCCATGATCTTCAAGTAATGACGAACGATTTTTGATTTCAATCTAGTAAACGAGGCTGTAGGCTGGAAGTTGTTGGGTCATGTTTTTCGCGCAGAGGCTGAGGGCATGCGCCATTTTGTAGCCGCCATTTTCAATTTCGAGTATTTTTTGCCGTTTTAAAATCTCAAATAATAAACAAATTTAATAGCCAAAACCGAAAGTTCGTACGCCTTTTCATTCTCCCCCAAAAAAATAAATACAAACCTTGCCTGATTTATGCCCAATATCAGGGGACGGTCCCCTTAAATTTAACAGCCGCAAACTAAAACAGGCTGTTGAGTTAAATTTTAAGAGGCACTCGAAACTACGGCCCTTATAATATTGTGAAAAATTTTTTATATTTTAACTTAATGTTGGCAATTGCCGCGTGGTTTGGGTCCTAACGCTTGCCAGTGCATTTGAGCATTGTGCGAGTGGTTTATTTATAACCAGTAAACGTCGAGCAGTGCTCTAGTAAATACACACATACATATTTCCAATAAATAATTACATCTTTAGAAGAATATTTGTATTTGAGTTTACTAATTATAATACTTAACTACGTATTTAGCTATTTAAAATAATTATATTTATATTATTTAGATGCATTCGATCGTAAATCGGAAGGTGAATTATCTTTTTCGCGGCATTCAAGCTTTGAAGGTAGTTTCAGTGACCCTAGCATACCCCGTACGCTTTGCAAAAATATACGTACACGTACATACCTCCCATGCACGACAAACTTTATTTTCGAAAACACTTATCAAAACGTACCATAACTAAATTGAAAAGTGATTTAATGAACAAAAAGTAATTCCAAAAAAAAAATGCATAATATTATTTCATGTAATTTTGCATTGTAACTTACTAAAAATATTGTCTCCTTGATTGGCATACCATTTCATCGTACGTAAAATGTTCCGGCCCATACTACAATGCAACTCTGTACCCCCCCGATAAAATCTCGTATTTAAACTATCTAAATTTCGTTAAAATTCTGTTTACATTCATTTAACATTTATGCCAAAAATATTTGTTCCCTTCATCACTCATACATGGATATTCTTTCACGCAGATGATGAATCTTCGCATGGCGTGCACATCACCAAAATGGGCAGCGAGGATGTTCACTTCCATGTCCAACACGAACACGGCACCGGCGGTCATTGGTGTGCGAAGATATTTTTCTTCTCTCTCCTAGCCATTTTATTTGGTCTGGTCGGGCTAATAATATTGGAGAACCGCGGCATATCTGATTGTGAGTTTGCCCGTGTACTGTATATTTATATGTAAGACTGCTTCTAATCTAAAATAACAAAAAAAAAAATGGTTTTTGCTTCGTAGTGGATACACCATTATCAGAGTCACGCTTCTCGAACTATTTCGATGGTTGGGTAGATGAGAGTCGCCAAGAACATGATGATCATGATCCCGTGAAGGCGTCTATAGAAGAGCATGAAGAACATGATGAGCCGTTTGAGGAGGAGGAAGATCACTCAGAGTTAGATGAGGAAGCCGACGAGGAACATGGGGAAGAAGCTGATGATGAGCATGATGAACATGATCAAGAGGATGAGGAGGAGGAGGAGGAAGAAGAAGAAGAAGCAACAGCAGAACAACAAACAAAAGAGGTGGAAGATGATGAGGAGAACGATGAAGACAGAGATGATGCAAATGCGAATGATGAAGAAGATGAGGAGGATGATGATGAAGATGCTACTAAAGAGGCTACTGTAGAGCAGACGGCGGAAGAAGAAGATGAGGAGAATGATGAAAATCAGCAAGATGAAGACGAAGATGAGAATGTAACACAAGAAGCAACAAAAGAAGAAGAAGATGACGACGATGCGGATGGCGATGACGCTGATGATAATGATGAAGATAACGAAGAAGAGAATAATACGAATGAAAATAACATTGAAGCTAGTCAAGAAGAGAATAATAATAATAATGATGATGATGATGATGATAATGTTGTTGATGAGGAAAATGAAAGCAACGCCAATGCGAATGATAATGATGATGAAGATGCCGATAACGATAAAAGCGCACAACAAGGCAGTAAAGCTAATGATGATGATGATGATGACAATAATGCCGCTTTCGATGAGGTAATATCAATCTATTCAATTACAATGCCTTGCAATCTAATAATTTCTTAATAACGTCATTTTACAGGAAGACGATGATGACACGGAGAATTCCGTAGAAAAGGTCGTTGATAATGATGCCGATGAAATGTTGTTGTTGCGAGAGAAAGCGCGTCAGCAAGCAGCAGAAGCAGCAAAAAATGAACCCGCCTCAGCGGAGGTGAACGATAAAGACGAAGCTGCTGAAGCGGCGCCATCATGGGCCTCATCTCGTAAGTATAGAAAGAAAAAATAAATAACATTTAAAAAAAAAATGGAATAATTCAAAGAAATTTGGGAGAGAATCAATTATGTGTGCGACTTTGATATGTGATTTTCATGTCATCTCAAATACCGTAACTGTTCTTCCGAAAAGAAAATTGAAATCATAAATGAGTGAAAAATATGTGCTTTTGAAAAAAAAAAACACTAAAATAAGTTATTCATCGATTGTTTAATGTTTAATATATATGTATGTATATATGTAAGTCAGAGTTTCGTGTAAAAATTCGTTTCCAATTTTATACATATTTTAGTCACTATTATTATAATTTTTTTTTTTTTGAAATGTACAAGAAAGTGCAAATAGCTTTACACATATACAAATATAACTTTCACCACCGTTGTACTGTACTCGCCCTTTGTCTGCCCTTATTCTAATCATTTTCCACTACATTTCCTATAGCAATTTGTTTATTGAGAAAAAAATATATTAAATTTATTAATAAAATGTTAAATACGATTATATCCGAATACAAATACTTATGTGTAATTTTGCAGTTGCGGTTAAATTTGGCGTTGGTGTGGCACTCGCGCTAGTTGCACGTCTTGTATTGATTAGGAATAATCCAAATACAAGTGAGTTGAATCATTTCACAGAAAAATGATGTTAAATTTAATTTCTAACTTAACAAAAATAAATAAATAAATTATAAAAACAAGCTTACTAGTGCTGCTTATACGTTTTACGTTAATCCAAATTTCGTACCACCTAACCTAAAGCCAATTAAAAAAAAAAAAGTAATAATAATATAAAATTTAAAAACTCTTACAAAACTATTAATAATTTGTTGTGTATATTAACTAAAAATTTATAAATTTTTTTTTGTCAAAATTTGATGTCAGCATGGCTTAGCATATCTTTTTAACCCAAAAAAAAAATAAATTTTTCCTTTAACAATGAACTTTATTTGCACTTTCTTTTAGGTTTGATTCAAATTTATATTTGTTATTTATGTTTGTACAAAATTATTGCAATTGTAAATGTTCACAATATTATTGTTTAAGTAAATGTTTTTTTTTTCTTTTATTTCATATTTTAGTCCTTGAAATGTTTAAGATTTTATACGCATATTATATTTTGCGCCATTGTATGTATGCTGCAATATTGGCAATTTTAACTGTATATTACCTTTATAAGTCTAACAAAAAGTTTTTTTTTTGTTTATTTGCTATTGATTAAAATGTGCTATATTTTTATTTTAATGAAATGAAAAATCGAAAACATGCAAAATATTGCTGTCCTCTCAGATGAGGAGCCTTCACCAGAGGCGATAATGAAGCGACGTCTCACAATTGCTGCCGAGGCAGAAATACCTGCTGAAGATGAGGAGGAGCCGCCACTGCTGGATGATGGTTAAATATATTCATACATTTATTTTAATTGATATATATGTATAGCTTTGTTTTCAAATGGAAGGGGGTCCCAGTGGCTGAGCGCAAGTTGGAGTGTAGTGTTGAGCGATTTGGAACAAAATTTTCCTTGTTCTTTACTCCACCGCACGCTTATCTCAAGGGTTGAGTTTGCCTTAAACACTTCCCTCCCCCACTTACTGGTCAACCTCATTTCATTTATTACAAAGAGCTAAACATATTTTTTTTTTACCACAAAATGTCGTTACCAATTCGATTTATGTACATTTATACACAAAAAAAAAGGCGAATACTCTGAGGAGGAAATTGAAATAGAAGAGGAATACGAATATGAAGAAGACGAGGAGATTGAATTACCCGAAGATCCCAACGATAATCTCTCTGCACTGGCCGGTGAATATATACCGGAAACTTTTGAGGAATTGAACAGTCTTTATCGTGCACGTTTGAAAGAATCTGAGCCAAGTCGTGAGGCAACAACAGCACAACGAATTGAAGAAGTGCGAGATCAGAGATTTACGACAAAGAAATCGCCAGCTGTATTCAATGCACCACCACCACCACCGTCGTCGTCAACAGCGACAACAACAGCGGCTGCAGCAAAAAACGCTGATATGTCATATAAGAAGGTATCACCTTTTACAACAACAACAACAGCAGCACACACGCCTACTATCGCAAGGCTAAACCAAACACAATCACCACCACCACCACCACCAACAACAACAACAACAACTAGTTTTTTAAGATCGAATGAAACTGTGAAACCAACAATGCAAAACATGCGTAGTCCAACAACAACTTCTACCGATATATACTCACCATCGAAAACTACCGCTAAACAATACCTGACGGAATCACCAAAAACGACAAAACACGAAATTACACACGATTTGGATTATCAACCGAATGAAGAGGATATTGATTATGCTGATGATGTTGATGATGTTGATGATGATGTTGGTGTTGATAATGGCGCATATGCACGTCATGTTTCACGAGATATAGATGAAGAGGACATAGAGGATGAGGAGGAGGAGGAAGAAGAAGATGAGGAGGAAGATATTGATGATGATTTATTGGATAATGAAGAAATTTCCGATGTCGACGACACTGAACTTATGAGTAGATTAGAAGCCAAGTACGGTCGCTTGCCGGCTAAGGAATATGAAAGCGATGAAGATCCAGACGATTCAACTTGGACACGTAATTACTAATAAGCGCTTACCAAATGGCTTTTTTAGTGTCGAATTGCTTACATACCCGTGAAACATACATACATACAAACATACATAGATAACAACTGATTGGCAAAATAATATAAAATTTTTATTTCACGAAATTAAACTCCTGAAATAAACATAATTTTTAGTAGCAGCACATCACATCATCATTATCATCATCACAGCTATAGAATGACAACAATTGGTGGACAAGTTAAACAAACAAGACCAATAATTGAACGAAAGAATGAATATACATATTTACATTCATAAGTACATGCACTCAAAACATACAAATATTGTCCAAAAACCTTATGCTAAGGTAATAATAATATAAATTTCATAATTTGCTGATTGTAAATTAGTATTTAAGACGATCTTATTCCTATTTTTTTTGTAAATATTTACGAAAGCACAGTGAATTCAACACTCATTTAAGATTTTTCATGCTTGATTTACTTAAATGCATTTGAGATTTTTTTTTATATTCCAAATTAACTAAAAATTTCTTCGTTGTTTCTCTAGAAATTAAGCCAAAGGAAGAAGTAGGTGGTGGTCCACAGGCGAAAAATGATGATTTCGGCTCATTTGAACAGGAATTGCGCAGAGCAAACGAAGAAATGATGCGGGAGGTGAGTGAAATGCGAATTTTTAGTAAAAACAAGGAATAAATAGATTTAGAAAATACTTTTAAACTTCAAGTGTAAATTTTGTATAAAAGATATTGCCAAATGAATACAAAAAATTTATGTCGAATTAAAGGCTCGTCAGGTTTTCTCTAAAAGAACTATCGAGATGATACTCTCAAAGACTGATCGCCGAAATTTAACTCGTTTTGAAACGAGTGTTACTAGGCTTTCTAATCTTAAGGCTAGGTTGGGTTGTGGTGGCTACTGATCTATAGTATCGATTTCACTTCGGCTGACTAAGCCCCTTGTGATGCCACATAAACTTGACCAACAGCCTTCACTGTACAGCCATTTTGATTCTCTAATGAACCCCATTAGATCGATAAAAATTCCGAAACCTAGTCCAGTTCAAAAAAGAACAGACGTATAAGAGATGGGTGTTCGTTTTCTCCTCCTCATCACTCTTGTAGCTTCTGCAGCATCTTCTATAGGGTGCCATTAGTCTTTTCCGCGTGCCGGCCTATCAGTCAATGGCCTGCCATAACTCAGATTGCTTTGAACATGTCCCCTCTTACAGTTTCTCACGGTGTCCTTGTAACCAGGAACCTACCTGAGAGACAGTATGTTTTGTTTGGCCATCTCCAGTGGAGATCGGCGGCAGTTCAGCACTAATTTCTAACTTAGTGTAAGCGAGGCCGGTGCTTTCATTGCTTCCTGACTCTAGGTATACCTATCTTTAAGGCTGGCTCCGATTTGTAGATATCTCCGCCCGGAAAACACTTCAATGGTCAGGTAGCTTGAAGGAGATTTCAATTCAAGAGAGACCACCTTCGTCGCCTCTTTTTTGCTATGAAATTGTATTTAATCAATATTATCAACTATTAGAGTAACCCCTACAGTTAATTCTAAGCCGATTCCGAATGACCGAAAAGAAATATTAATCAATCAAAATCAAAACACTGACTTTTTGGGGTTGTAACGGTGTCTCAACTGTGTCTTGCTTGTTAACGAACCATTTTTAACCAAAAGTGAGTTTCTTCGTTGAACAAAATTATTTTATAATAATCGGAAACCCCGGCCAACTCGTTTTGGACCCATTCACCGAATGCCTAACGCGTTTGACAGTCGCTCGGCTGCAATTCTCGCACGAGTTGGATTTTATAAGGCCGTCAACTAAGATCAATTCGAAAAATCATCCATAAAACGGACGGCCACAGTTCCGATTGTTGCGTGCGACTATTTTGGTCGTCTTCGATATTCTACTTCTGCTCAGCAGCAACAGCGGTTTCGATGCGTACGTCGTGACATCTCTGAGGATGTGCATTAATGTGGTGAGAAACCGATCTATGGTTGCTCGAATTACCGACTCTGCTAATCGATCGTTATTGGACGCTGCGCACGATGCGTCACGAGCACCGAACCATTATTTTGGTAAAAATTTGCAAACGTTGTTGAAAACAACAACACAAAAAGCAAAAAATAATACGCAACAGAAACTTTATAAAAAAAAAAATTTTTTTTTTCGAATTTATTGACTTAAGCAATTTTCCTTTATTTTCTACTTTGCAGTTTTCTTATCATTGAAAAAATAATAAAAGTTTACATACCCCACCTACCCTCGCAAAGCTTGCAATGCGTTTATTTTAAGTTTAAGAAATTTTAATTTTAGGAACAAAACTTTTTTTTTTGTTAAATAAAATTTGTAAAATAAATAATTACGTAAATAAGTTGAAGAAAAAAACCATATCAATATTTATTGACAATTCAGAATGTGCAATTAATCAGCTATTTTTTATTAATAAATAAAATAAATTTTTTTTAAATAATAAAATATTTTCTTTTTTTGTTAAAAAAAAAATTTTGAAGAAAGCTTATTTAACATAACTAATAAAAAAATATTATTCTTTCATGTCTCACAATGCCAAGCAATCAGAGCGTAACAATTGTATTTTCTTCAATCGTATATACATATATACATACATAAATATATATATGTACTTATATACATATACATATGTATGTATGTCCGTCAATTAACTTATAGCTTAATAAAGGCGCCACTGCCGCTTGCGGACGCGCCCATCACCCACTTTAAAGCGCGCGTCCGCCAGTTCCGGGGTTGGCCTATTAAGCCATGACTTTAATTGAGATTTATGCCAATCGGCAAATTGTGTGTGCGCCGACACACTGACTTACTAATACACTTACGTATACAATACATATAAATATTTTTCTCTAACTGCATGAAATGTTCTTACTAATTTTGCATTTTATTGTTCTTGTTGTTGTTATTGTTGCTGCAATTCCCAATGCTGCTCTTGCTGCTGCTAACTGCATTTGTTGTTGCTATTGGTCTTAAAACGTGTCCCTCGCAACTTATACACCAATACACACACACACACATACACACACACAAATGAAAAGAATTATGCCGCTGCCGCTAAAATTTTCGGCAAACTCACGCATCAACACCCTGACAAACCGGAAGGATTCCTCGGCCAAGCGAAATCGCTTGATAAATTGGCGGACAAGCAACGCAGCAATAGTTTGTTGAGTCAAGCTTTACAGGCGTATAAGCGGTATTTGGCATTGGGCGATGCCATCGCAGATCTGGCACAGTTCCGAGCCGCTGCTGAGCGCTGTATCGAGCGTATGCGCTTCATGGGTAAACTCGTTTGGCTGTAGGAGCTAAAATGCTGTGAAAACTTCGAACCTTTTTGCTAATCAACTCCGCTTTTTTGCAGGTCACTTCATGCAGGCGGTGGCAGTGCATCAGCAATTAATTGATCGCTTTCCAAACGAACCGGGTGTGCGTAATGAACTGGCTATTACCTACCTGCTGCAGAATCTGTAAGTTGATTATTTATTTGCTTTCCAATTTTTACTAATCTAATGTATTGTTTCTTTCATCGCTAGTTTATCGGATGCCAAGTTGGTGTTGCAAAAAGTGCTCCGCCGTTGGCCGAAGGACGGTTTCGCGCAGGTACATTACGGTTTTGTGCTGCGCCAACTGGATAGAGACTATAAAAATGCCGTTACTTACTTGCGTGAGGGCATCAATTCACAAGCGTCTGGCACACAGGATGGCCGCTTCTACTTTAATCTCGGCGATTGCCTACAACGTTTGGGCCGTCAAGCCGAGGCTGTTGAAGTGTACAAGCGCGGCGCTGCATTGAAACTTTTTCCGTCCGCCTACCAGCGTTCGCTGTACAACGAACCCAATTTGCGTGCCCAGCCCTATTGGACTAAAGCGGAAACCACTTATGCTACTTATCTAAACAAATTGGAGCTCAATTGGCGCGTGATACGTGATGAAGCGTTAAGTTTGCTCGGTAGGCGTGACAATTTTCTCGACGAAGCTGAAAGTTTACGCGATACTGGCAATTGGCAACAGTTCGAATTGTATTCGCGTGGTCAAAAGCGCTTTAAAAATTGCCAGAAAGCTCCCATTACGTGTGGGATGATTGAAAAATTCACCGCAGCTTCTGGGTGTCGACGCGGTCAAGTTAAGTTTAGTGTCATGCAAGCCGGTACGCATGTACATGCTCATTGTGGTCCAACGAATTGCCGTTTGCGTGCTCACCTCGGGCTGGTGGTGCCGAAAGGGACACACTTGCGTGTAGCTGAGGAGGAGCGGTGAGTTCATACACATACATATGTTTTTGTACTGTGAAAAGTAGTCATTCTTAGCGTGTTTTTGATGGCAGTTGTTATGTATGATGACGTCACAGAGGTATTGATTAAAGTGTTTGGCGGGTAGATTCCGCGAGTATTCAAGCAGATTGGTCTTTGAAACATCTGTGTGTTGTATAAATTCAATTCAAAAGCTTTACGTTCGATAATGCCCTTCAGGGTGGAGATGTAGTAGATAAACTGACTGAAAGGAAGCAACTGTTTATTTACTGAATTCCAGAGCACAGGAGCAATGCGATTTCAAATAAGACTGTAGGACAATTGGGGGCCTAATAACAGGTCACTATTAATGGAATCGCACGAAATACACCTGCCATACTGAGGTCTAATAGAAAAATTAAGTTACTCTAATTTCGAATGCTGACTCGAGCCTTAAACTTCCGCAACTGGAAACCAGTATGCCAATGGAAGGTGTAGCAGTCAGATAGCAGTAGTAAAATCCTCAACTCGTTAGTCGGCAGTACCTGGAACCTGTATGCCCGGAACTGGCGAGACGCAGATAAATATGTTTCATGAATTCTCTGGCGTTAACGAAATCCAAGCACCCCCCATTGTAGACCAAGAGTTTGAACTGCCTCGGAAGAGCCGAGTAATACTGCCACAATTAAGATCTGGATATTGTAGTCGACTTAATTTTTAAAGTAGGACCTGTATGGAATGAGGCTTCGTACTAGACTAACCATCTCTTGGCTTGTCTCCTATATCCTACATATTTAACTCGCCTTTTTTTCTGGTTCGGACCATCGAAACAGCTTGTTTTCTAAACCTCCTGTTAGATGACCTTTATGATGAAGACCAGTCTCGCATGCTCCTATGCGGTTTTAGAAAATCGCTACAACAAAAATAATAACAACAACAATAACCATTCCGAGACGTCTCCGAAAGCCTGATGGGATATTTCGATGTTCTTTTTTATGTCAAAAACGCGCTTAAATGGCTGAAAAAGTGAGGTGCCCAACTACTCTACCAATCGATTTTCACAGGCTTCTCTTGAGGTCCATTCTTCCAAAGCGAAATAATTCGCCATAGACATGAGCAGATGGTAACCACTTGGTGTGAGGTCCAGACTATAATATTAATGCATAAGAACTAAGCACTCGGAGCTAATCTAATTGCTGGCAGTACATGTTCGTAAGGGAACCGTAGGGTGTCAGCTCATAGTGGTTGATTCCTTGTCAATTCCACCAATCACACAACAAAACCCTGCTCGCCGTCAATTCTGACTTGGAGACTGTTTGTGCTGGCTCCTCTTCAGTAGCGTTTCGCAGATGTAAGTTCGATCCATATGGTTTTTTCTCATCAACTCATGTAGTACCCATACATTGAGCTTCTTTGTGCGTACAGCCCTTTTCAAGTGGTTCCAAACTGTTTTAGTGCAATATTTAGTTACTGGGCAATTGAAACAGTGCTCGGATGATGGTGAGGCTCAGTCAGACGGTTTCCATTATTTTATCGACATTTTCGACAATTGGCGTTCCACACCGTGTTTTGAAGTTATGCTCAGGATCCAGAAAATAACAAGCTTGAATTATTTTAGCCATTCTGATAAATTAAAAACTAGATTTTTGGTCAAATAAATTATATAGTATAAATTAAAAAAATTAAATATTCAAAATTAATATACACTAATCAGAGATTTCTCCAACCACTTTTCACTCAAACAGCACTTGGACGGAAGGTGAATTTCTCATATTCGACGATAGTTTTGAGCATGAAGTGTGGCACAACGGCACCAGTTTTCGGCTTGTCCTGATTGTCGACGTTTGGCATCCAGATTTGAGTGTGCATCAACGTCGAACACTGTCAGCGATTTGAATGAATTATTGGCTTGCCATATTTCAGTTCCTGCTTGAATTACACCAAATACAGTTATACGTAAACATGGAGACAGTTAAACAATAATATGTACAGTTAAAGAATTAGAAAAATGCGTTTTTATTAACAATAATGAAAATATTACTTTAGTTAAGGCTTTCTCTTCTAATGAAACACTTATGCTGCTTTGCGATTTTATTACTAAAAAATATTTTAAATAAAATAATTTATGCATAAAAATGTAGCTCAAAGGTATTTGTATGTTTAAGAGCAGTCGTAAGTCATCTTGTATGATAGAATTTCTGCATACGAGTATGTGCGTATTTCAAAACAATTGTTGATATTTAAGTAACGTAAAAAAGTGAAGCGCAAGATACGTTTGATTTTTCCAGTCTTTGTACTTTTCATACAACTCACAATATATTTTTTTCCATAAGCGGTGTAATGGAAAATGTGAATTTCCGTTAATTATTTAATTAATTTAAAAAAAATGTGGAAAATGAAAAGTTAAAGGATTAGAAAAATTTTGAATAGTTTATATGGATAAAAAAGGAGCTGGAATTAATTATGATTTTTATTTAATTAATTTATATTTTTATTTATTTCCTTTCTGTATAATCTGTATTAATGCACGCTTTTATAATAAAAATAAATTATATTGATTTATGCAATATTGATGTAAAGACAATTGTAACCAACTTACTCGTAACAGAATGAAAGCAATTTACATTTTAAAATTAAAACTAAAACAAATGCCACTGTGAACATAATATTATTTAAGAAAATATGTTGTGAATATGAAATTATAATAAATTAGCTTTCCTTTTCTACACCGTAAGGCATGCTGGTTTTATTTAAATATCTAATAATATACTGGGAATCTTTGTCTTCTTCTTTACGGACGCGAGTTAACGCCAGCGCGCCAGGCTTTTCCCCAACCTTTTTTCCCTAGCTTCCACCGGCGGGTGCATTGAAAATTTGTATAGCTGGAATATTCGTACCCATTCGGACCACATGACTTAGCTCGCAGTTCTTGGCTCGCTGAATTAAGTGAATGTTTGCGTACATTTCGTTCAGCTCATTATTTCATCGGCTGCAGTATTCGCTCTTCGCAATGCACAGAGGACTTTTTTCACGAAAACTCCCAACGCCAGCTCATCATATATGCCTTACCATCATGTTCATCGACTCTTATACTTTGGTATTTGTTCGTCAAGAGAGGACTTTACTGTGCACTCTACTCAGTCTTAAGTAGCTGCGTGGTTTCTACATTGAATTTCAAGGCAGAAATTGTTTTTCGTGTCATACTGGTTCCAAGGTGGACGTAGTAATTTACGACTTCGAAGTTATGACTGTCAGCACTGGTGTTTGATCTATACGCTTCACTTTCTTATTCGGTCTGAGTAAAGTAGAGTACACGGCGCGGTTGTTAAGGTCAATGATGTTAAAATCAACGGCATGCGCCAGCAGTTGTACACTCTTATAGAAGATCCAACAATAGTTGGAAAAGTCACACGATAAGGCACCATATGGTCTTAAACTACGTTTGGTATCGAACGGCTCAGAGAGGTTCTTCTCGATCCTGATTAACCTTTTAATGTTGCTTAACGTCAGTTTACACAACCGTATAATTTTCTATATTGGCATTGAGGCTGTGTTTCCAAGATTTGGAGCATGCTGAAAATCTTCTATATATCCTAAAGCCATTCCGATAAGCTGCAATCAGTAGTGAGTTATTTAGGAGGCTTATCCTACGGCAATTGGTATAGACTGTGGAGTCCTCTTCTTCGTGTATTGAGCAGAGCAGAATCGAATTCCAATCTTCAGGTATGTTTTTGTCCGAACATATATTGCAAAGAGGCTGAGGCACCTCCTCAGTTCTTCTCCCTCTTACTTGAATAGCTCGGCAATCCATCCGCCTGCGCCTCTTTGCTGTTTTTCAGGTTTTTTCGAACTTCTTCACAGGCTGACTATGAAACATCTGTTTACTCGTCATCGATTGTGGAATCCGGCTCACCACCTAATGTTCCATATTCGTTGCCATTGAGTAGACTGAAGAAGTGGTCCCTCCATAAATTCAGTATACTCTGATCTTAGCCACTAGATCACTCGTCTGGATAGCATTTTTTCGTATAATTTTTGTGATGTTCTTTTGTCGGCCAGCTTTTTTTTTTGCTATGACCTAAGACTCCGCATCCTACACGTGGATTGCACACGCTTCCAAAAAAGCGTATAATATATGTTTTTTTTTAAACGCTTAAATAATTTTGTACGTGTTATTTCCATTTGATTTTTATTATAATTATAGTTATTGCAACCATTTAGTGGAAATAGATAAGTGTTGCTGAAACTAACTATTGTTAACTAAATACTTGACAGTCAGTTCAATATTGAAGCACGCAAGCTAAATACTACATACGTACATACATACATATTTCCATATACATAGGTGTCTTACAGGGAGCATGTAGACTAGTCGGCAAAAATTCCAGTTGGATACTAGTATGCGTGGAAAATAGATAAAATATGAGCTCCTTATCTTCCTACGTGATCATATCGCGTTATTTGTTCTTCCGCTGTTTGGCGCGAGCTGGAAATACCAAGTGAAACCAGATCACTCTTCACCTGATCATTCAAACGGACTGGCGGTTTTCCTCTTCCTATGCTTCTACCGACAGATACTACATCGATACTTTCAAAGTGTAGCCGAAGTCGCTTGGTTTGTTGAAATATTTTATTGAATGATATTTCATTGACTCGTCCAACTTATCCTTCCATAGTCGACTCCCAAGGAGGATTCATTGGATATTGACACCGTCCACACTTCTGCGTCATATAACAGGACAGTAATGATTAGGGACTTGTAGAGTTTGGTTTTAGTTCGTCTAGAGGACTTTACTTTTCAACTACTTACTCAGTCCACATAAGCACCTGAGGGTTGACGAAATAATCTACTGCCTCAAAGTTATGACTGCCAACAGTACCGTGGGAGCGTAGCCGGCTTACGCCAGCAGTTGTAGAAAGATGAACTAGTTACTTCGAAAATGCACATTAATTGAATTCTAGTTAATACCCAGTATTATTCCTTGCCGGGCTTAGGTATCGCTGCACGCGATGATATGGGTGCGAACAACATTGAGAACTTAACGCGATCTAAATAAAAATTCGATTTTCACTGCCAAAGCATCGAGTATATTTATTTATTCATTTGCGGTAATAATTTATTTATATAAAAATTAAAACTTATAGCAAAGTTAGGGTAAGATATTGCAGCCACTAAAATATTAGAAAAACTAATAAAAAAAAAATCGAAGAATTAAAATTTTTTGGAAAATGTGATATAGAAGAAAACTAATTAACTGATTTCCAAATGGTTGATGGTTTTTTATGAACAGATTTTTTTCACCTCTGAAACACAGTCCGGGGAGGGGAAGAGATAAATCTTCCGCCGTGGTTCTCTACGTGGTGAAATGTACCACCAACCACTCAGCATCTGGCACATCTAATATTCGATTCTACTCGAGCCTTCAAATTTTTGTAATTAAACCAAATTTCTTTTTCTTTTTATTTGTTCAGAAGAAATTATTTCACCTTAATATTTAAGTTTTTAAGTTAAATTATGTTATTGCGGTCGCTTCTCGGCAGAGACTGTCCGCCCCTTCGAGTGTATTTCGGACGTGAAGCTGCTCATGAAAAAACCCATCAGCCATTTGGAGGCGGCTTAGTATAAACTGTATTTCCTTCCATCAGCAAAACCACAAATTGGAGAAGGAGCTCGGCCGAAAATCGCTTCAGCGATTACAAAGCATCAATTATATAATTCTTCTCAGTGTTAATTTTTAATCACAACAAATCTTCAAAATATATATGATCTACTCAGTATCTTTTCGAGTTTAGTAGATGTTTTGCCGAAGTAAGAACCGAGTTATCCTTGCACAGGATGATGCTTTTGCTCACGCTCAAAAGGGCAGCTCGACAGTTGTTGACCTAATGCCAGACTGTAAGCTGTTGGCGTCGCGTGAGGTAGATTGAGATTTAATTACTGGTAGTGGAACATGTAGAAAATGCAGGAGATAATATTGTTGGAAACCTACTTTGTGCTGATCGATTTCAGAATCTATAATGAGTTTTGACTGATGACCGCTAACACAGACAAAGCCAAGGTTTTTCAATGAAACCAGTTCAGTTCGTTGGCAGTACTTCTAATTTTCAAAGAGTTCGATGGGAAATACTTTGTCTATCTACGCCTAAAGCTTTATCGTTCATTCATTTATTAGCTCCTTAGGAAGTTTACATTCGCTGTTAGTTTCGTCATTGAATTTTGAAAGACGAACACAAGGATTACTCCACTGTGGACCGTATGATCCAGAAATGCTTGCCGGGTTGGGTAGTCGGTGCCTTCGTTTCCTCGTCATCGGTGATACCAGAAATCTATCACTGAAACAATACTTGTTCTCTTGAGTTTCACCTCAACTGAAGTTATGTGTGCTGTTCTGACTTATGATGGTATTCTACTGCCCTCAACACCAGTATCAGTTCCCGTATGTATTGTTTTTTGAAAACATCCAGGGAAATTTTAGTTTCGGAAGTGTCGTAATATATTTGCGAGATAATTATTTTTTTCGATTCATCTTTTTTTTGCGCTTCCCTCATATGGGGCTAATAATTCAGCACTCAGTAAAATATTATAATTATTAATATTATTATAATTATTACAATGTGTTTCCTTTAAAACACGCAACCAACACGAGCACAGCATTGCTGGGGCTCTAACTATAAAAGCATTGGGTATTGCCCTGAGTAGAACCAGTCATTTGTATCTTGGCGCATAAAGTGCTTTACAAAATGAATATTTTATACGTCACATTTCTGCTTTGCTTTCAAAAACTTTATGCCATTAAAGCGGCTGAACCGGAAGTTTGCATCGAGGCGTTAGGCTGTGTGGAGGGCGTAAATGTGGCCGGGCTTGAAGGGCAGCAGTATGAAGCCTTCTATGGCATACCATACGCACAGCCGCCCATTGGTGAATTGAGGTTTAAGGTGAGAAGGTGTATTTAGAGAACAAAATATTTCAAAAATGAAACTTTAAAAAGACTGTCTCTCACAGAATCCCCTACCGGCTGAGCACTGGCAGCATAAGCTAATGGTGAAAGAACCGAAACCGGAATGTATTCAATTCAATGTTATAGCGCCCACACCGTATATAAGTGGCGAAGAGGACTGCTTATATTTGAATGTGTATCGGCCAAAAGTAATTATTTTCTAAAAAATATTATACCCTGATTTCCTTTGAGTTCTATGTAAGTTTCTATTGCACAGAATCCTACTGCTGACAAGCTGCCCATTTTGTTCTACATACATGGTGGTGGTCTCTTTTCCGGTTCTATAAATCCACTTTTTCATGGTCCTGAATATTTTATGCAAACGAACGAGATTATTTTGGTGTTACCCGCTTATCGTTTGGGTCCATTTGGTGAGTACTTAAAGTGTTGAAAATATCTTTTTTTGGTTTGGTTCTGAGTAATTCTCTGATTTTATAGGTTTTTTAAGTAGCGGTGATGAGCACATAGCTGGCAATTACGGACTTAAGGATCAAAGTATGGCACTTAAGTGGGTGCACCAGCATATAAACGCATTTGGCGGCGATCCCTTACGTGTCACCATCTCGGGACATAGTGCCGGTAGTGTTTCGGCGCATTTGCACATGTTCAGTCCCGCTTCGAAGGATTTATTCCGCAATGCTATATTGATGAGTGGTGTGGGAAATAGTCCTTTCGCACGACTTACGATTGATCAACGGGCTGTGGTGGATAAATTAGCCACCGCTGCAGGCATCACCAACGCCGAGAAAATGCCTTCCAACGAACTTGCCGCTGCTTTACGCACTGTGCCTGCAATGGATCTGGTAAAAGCCGGCGGCGCATTGAAAGTCTGGGATGTTCATCCATTTGTAAATTTCCGTCCGAATTTGGAAGACGAATCATGGCCGGAACCATTTATGACGCGAAATTTATTCCAATTAACCCGTAGCGTGAATATGCCTCAAACGGTGCCTTGGATTGGTGGTTCTATGTTGTCAACGGGGGAGGGTACGGTTATGGCGTTGAAGTTAGTATCGGATCCGGTTTTACAGGCTGAATTCAATAAGAACTTTGATGAACACTTCACGTTGGTCCTCGAGTTGAATGGCACAAAGAATACGGAAAAGGTGGATGAAATAATTGAACGTTTGGTTGCGGAGTATATGGGTGGCGTACGTGAACTGAATAAAGACACCATGGATGGCTTCCTTGCGGTGATTGAATGATTTTACTTGCAGGAAGTTTACATAAAATTAATTATTTTCTTTTTTTGGTCCCTCAGCTTTTAGGCGATGCTTATTTCACGCATCCCTTATATAGGACCATTGCAGCCGATCTGAATTCTGGCGCTGGTGCTGCACATAGTTTAACAGGCGCATTGCAGTTTGTTTACCGTGGCCCCTACACATTTTCACAATTCTTCACGGGCAGCTCGAAGGATTATGGCGCTGTACATGTTGACGACATGCTGTATTTATTTGGCATGCCATTACTAATACCAAATGGTCTTCCAAAATCATCGGCAGAGTATGAGATAATGAAGAAATACGTCGGACTTTATGTGGAATATGCCAAGAATGGGTGAGTTGCAAATCATGGTGAGGTGTTGTTGAGGTGGAAATATTAGCAAAACTAAGTAAGGGTAAGGAATTTTTGGCAAAACAGTTGTGGAAATTTGGCGAAACATCTCCAAACGGGCTGAGACAGATTGACTTCGCTGACGCATGAAAGATGGTTTTCTGTAGTACCAGATTTCTGCATAAGTGAATCCAACATTCTACATGGATGTCACTTCATCGGAAACTGCGCAACTTAATGGATCAAGTTGGGATTAACGGAGTATCACTATCTCGCCAAGGCGAAGATTCGCAACGATCATCCCTGTAACAAAGAACCCCTGTCAAAAAACATAAGAAAGGTTCGACGTTGAAAAACTGCAATCAGAACAAAATTCGAATGGGTTTCTATGGGACTTCCACAACTTCTTTTTGAGAGCACTCATCAGCAGCTCGATAAAAGGGAGCTATGTAGCGGTATCTCTAAGTATCGCCGCTATGGAAACAATTAGTTTTCGGCAGTACCAGAAAAAGAGCTGGTACAATGAGGACTGCTGAACCGTAATGAAGAGAGAACAGACTGCCACCTCGCAACGTTGTCAAAAAATGAACGAGAACCAGACGAGGGCTTCTCCTTGCGGTAACCAACTCATGTGGAGCCAAGGGTCAAGGCTAAGAGCGGAAAAGCTTCAGAAGAGCCACTCCGACATATTTGGTTTAACGGTTCGCTGAAGTTTAATTATAGCGTCTGTTCACCAGAGGGGCAGCTGCTACTGAATGACGATCTTGAAGCCGGCAACTCGGTGTAAATGTGTGTAAAATTTCAACCTACTTGCCTAGCGAGCTTGCCCGTTGGGTTTGGCAACCGCCTTATAGAAACCAGACCCAATGAAAAGTTCAATAACGCCTAGGATGAGAGTTCAGCTAAAGAACAATGAAAAACGTGTCAAATGTATCAATTATGCTAGAAATATAGTTCGAATCCAGGCACAAACAATTCTGGTATATCTAAGGGCTCGTCAACTTCAAAATTATTTTCCCATTTTTTTTTAAATCTATGTAACATTTTTATTTTGTTTTTACTTCCAGCAACGTTGAAATTTTCACGAAAATTGGCCCCTGTACGATAGAGTCGTTTGAACGATCCGATGGCTCGGGCATTTGTGATTATTTGTCGATTGCCAATGGCACCGAGCCGTTCAAAGTTGAACACACTTGGAATGTAGCACGAATGCAATTGTGGGATTATGTGGACAAGACTCTATTCTGATTAAAAATAAATAATGTTGTTGTATTCTTTAACGAAAATTGTTTAATTCATTAAATATTATATAACTTTTTTCAATTAATAAAGTGTCTCATTTCGGAGAATATTCTAATTGATGTGGACGTGGGTTAAATCAAGCGATATTTTTTTAATTAAGCACAACGCCTTCCAAGAACTGAGACTGACTGTACAGTAATGGAGAGAGATTGATCTTTAGGTATTAGAAGTATATTCCAAAGAGACCCTTTAGAGTAGCGCAAATTTAGTGCTGGGCTGTGTCAAGAGTGAGTTTGTCTGCATTTTTCCACGTATCGCAAATTTGCACCCAGACTACGTAGAACAGAGCGATAAGGTTAAGATGAGCATCGGGTTATAGATGAGCTGAGGAAATAAATGGACTTGGAGCTCGTTTTGTTTTTTATGCACATGTTGGGAGGAGTCATACCTAACCACGAGCTTCCAACAGGAAGTACCTTAACCGTATGGCTTTAGACCAGATAAATCTACCATTGACAAGATATTCACATTTGCAAAATCTCGGAAAAACTCCGTGAAAAGCGCATCGACAAACTCCACTTCTTCGTCGAATTTAAAGCAACTATCGACACCACGATGGCATTCATATAATTTACCTCAAAGACGTCACTGTGAGTTCTGCTTTCTGCAGACTGGATAAAGAAACGATGCGACAACATTTGATGAGTTGGCGTTAAGAGTTTTCGGGAATTTTTTACGTATGATTTATAGTCCCGTACTAGTTGGTAACGGCGAATACCGCAGCCGATAGAATGATAAGCTGTATGAGGTATACGGAGACATTGACATACACGTGTAGTTTAGCAAAAGAAAAGACATGTGATGCGGATGAATAAGACTACTTCAACACTGAGAGTTTTCGATGCAGCATCCGCCGGTGGAAGCAGGGGCAGAGGAAGACGCCCACTTCGCGGGAAAGACCAGGTAGGGAAGGACCTGGCTCTACTTGGTATCTCTAATTGGCACTAATCAGCGAGAAAAAGGAATGAATGGCGCGATTTTATAAATTCGACTAGAATCACGTGAGCGGTGTTACGTCAGTAAAGTACATAAGAAAGTAAGAAAAAAGCGACATTATGTATCCAATTTAATCTGGTTTGGTAGTTTGCAGAGTTTAGTAGAGCTTTGTTTGGTTTTCAAGACAATTAGCAACAAAGAAAACGTCACAAATAAAATAAAATAGCGGGAATAGATGAGATAAGAGTAATTTTATCGTGCACTCACTTATTTTTGAATAGTTTACTTAACTGATCTGAACTTATCTGCTTTCACATTGCTTCGGGGTGACGTTCCATTTATCTCATAGTGAGTTTATATCTCCCCACCTGCGTCGAGGTCCCGCTTTTTAGCTCGTAGTATTTTTTCTGCAAACTCATTTACATTTACCCAGTTTGCTTCGCTTTGTAGCATAATTGAGACAATATTATCTACTCTTAGTTCTCCAACTGTATTTTCTTGTCTGAATCTCGCGTCTTGCCAGCGAGTGCATTGAAAGATTGTATGCTCGGCGTCATCTTACTATTTTAGGCAGGTATTTCCTGAAATATCCGTGACCAGACAGCATCTGGGTAATGTAGTAGCCTACTTCCTGGAATTTTTTAGTTGTTCATATTCTGACGCCGGCTATTAATATGGGCGTCCATCGTTGTTGACTTCCTTCTTCCCATCGGGCTTGCCACTGCATCAGGGTCTCTTTTCTTATGTCCTCTCTGTTTGTACTGACAGTGCATCCTTTGGTTCTTTATTTTTTTGTTCGTCCAGTTTCTTTTCTTTTCGGCTGGCAATAGGTCGATGGGAACGCTTCCGTTTATTACAGCTATAGCTTCCCATGATACTTTACGGTAAGCCGACGCTATCCTCAAAGCTGCCGTGCGATATATTTTGGGCAATACCATTCGCCTATTATTCTTCTTAAGTTAGTCCACCCATAGCTCGGCTCCATACAGTAAGATGTTAAGGGTTGCCGCCATTAGAAGCTTCCTTTTCTCTTGAGTTGGACCTCCTATGTTAGCCAGTAGCTCAATCTAGTGTCTAGTCTTACACCCAGATAGTTAACAACTCTTCTTGACCTCTGGTGTATCTGCGATTGTGTGCATGTCTAATTCCAGAGGTATATGGTTCATCGTTAATGGCAGCAACTCGGTTTCGTTGCGAGTTTGGTTTAATTTAATTTATCGCGTCAATGTCGTCAGCATATCCCACGAGATATGTGCTATGAGGCATCTCAAGATCTAATATGCCATCGTAGTTGACGTTCCAGAGGTCTGGCCCGAGGATAGAGCCCTGCGCTGCTCCTGCTGTCACCTTGTGTTTTCGCTGCCCATCAGTAGTCCGATGGGCTATCTGGGTTCCCTTTCCCCTTTCTAATGAGCACCAACTACTGTCTTCTCCAGATTTCTGGGAATGGGTTTCTTTTCAAGCAGGCCTTAAACATATTAAGAAGTAAATTAGGTTGTTTTGGGGCAATGGGCATATGGTTTTTTTTTGGCTTGAGCTTTCTTGTAGCTTTTTGTAGCTCTTCGGGAGTAAAAAAAAAGTGTTTGTATAGGAAGGTTATGCTGTACTGCTTTTCTTTCCGTATCTTATGTGCTGGAAATAAGGACTTAAACATCTGATCCCTTCTGTGTCCGGTAAATTCTGGGGGTGGTGTCCTAGCGCCGAGATTTTTCATCATTACTCTGTACCCTAGCCCCCAAGGCTCCCTATTTAGGTCTTTGCGTAACTCTTTGTTTTACTAATCTCGATGACACGATTTATTTCCTTTTTCGCAGCGAGGTACAGTTCCATTTCTGTAGCTGCGTTGCCTCTTCTGTCTGTTCCTTGTATAGGCCCGTCGAAAGCGAGGAGGCGTTTTCTTTAGTTGCGCTATACCCTCAGTCCACTAGTGCGATGCTCGTTTTTGCCTCCTACTCGTGGCTCTTGGCATATCCTTTTTACACGCTCGAGTTATTATGAACATTATGCTTTCGACTAATTTCTTTGCCTTTTCCGAGTTGTTCTCTAAGACGGCTTGTTTATCAATTTCGGATAGTAGTAGAGGGCTAGTGCTTAGCTTTGAAGCATTCCATTTGCCGAGAGAGCATTGTGTACCAGTTTTAGCAGGTCGGGCTTGAGATTCTGTTGTGAAGGTTATGCACTGATGATCACTGTTTAGCGTTGCGATGCCAATGTTATGTCGGTTGTTGTTTCTTCGCAGTCTGGTCGTCTGAGAGTCCTTGCTATTCCGATGTTGAGTACCACAAGGTCCAGTCGTGTAGTCATCTCTAAAATCCGTTTGCCTCTGGAGTTCTGCATACTTCATTCAACTACTTTAGAGTTAAAATCTCCTGCGATTATAATTTGTCCTTCTGTCTCTCGAGCGGCGTCCTCTGCGCGGTCCAGTTTGGCTTGAAAGTCGTGGATGTTATCGCTGGCGGTTAAAAATAGTGTAGAGGGCGCATTTGGTCCACACGAAACCATTTACATTCCCGCTTGCTCTGGTGTGAACCACATCGCAGCAGTGCCACTGCTATCCTCCAGCCATGTTCCACTTTCCTTCTTTTTGTATTCTTCACTGATTATAATGACATCGTGGTGGCTCTCTCTTGTCATTTGTGTCAGCGGTGCATCAGTAGTTATGCATCTATGCATGTAGGCTTGCAGAGCTTTCATGCTCTTGAGTAGCTGTTGTATAACGTACACTTCCTGGAATCCGGTATGTGATCTATTCAACGCGCTAACGTGGACCCGAACCTCTAGTGTAGCGGAGCATAAGCACTCACTCACCTTTTATCGCGCTCTATTTATTTGTACCTATTCATTCGTGGTACACAGAGCGGGGGAAAAAATAAAAAACAAATATTGTTGTTTTTTTGCTAAAGTGGAAAAAAAAATAAAAATTATAAATGTAAATAAACGAATTAAAAATGAAAGTTAGTTATCCGCATTGAAACAAATAAAATGAACAAATATTAACTAAGTTAAGTAACAGATATAAACAAAATATTGATAATTATGTTATAATTATAAAAAATGTATATAACAGCTGTGTTGTTTCTGCAACTTTGAAGTTCGAAAAAAGCACATATATTTTTAACACATTTGTTATTGTAAGGGAATAACAATAAAGAAAGAGTTTTAAGAACTAAAATTAATTACAATTGGTATTAGTTGAATGAAATTGAATTTAATTTGAGTAATGGATCTTACTTGTTCGCTTCAAAATGAAGTCGAAAGAAATAGTACGCAGTTGTAAAGAAAACTAACGCTTCGTTAAAATTTACAGTATTTTTAATAGAAAAAAGTTCGTTCTGTTTGAAAAGTTGCCATATTAATATATCAAAGTTTCAGAACCATTTATAATGCTTTTATAATATAATGTTTATTTAGGTAATTGCAGAAGAATAAATATAATTCCTTGTCTAGTCAATGACAAACTGGGCTGAAAAGTCCCGTACCTAACGGAAGAAATAACATTTTTTCTTGTTCGTAATTCGCTTTATTCATCAAACTAACCTCAAGAAAGGGCCACACAGTTACCACTTTCGTAGCGGGTGTGCCACTAAAAATTTAAAATTATTCCAAAAACGACGAAAAAGACGAATAAACATTTTTCAATGATTTTGCCTTTATGATGAATAGGCGCAAGTGCAGCAGGTGTATTGGGGATCCAAAACACGTGCAATCAATCAAAGATCACCCCAAGTAGCTGGGTGTTAATTGTGGACTGCTAGCTTATGTAGATACTAATTAAAAGGGGAAGGGTGAAAAAGACAAGTGGCCAAGGTATGGACCCTATCCTCTGGCATCATTCATTGCTGTTATACAGCGCTAGTCAAACCAATATTGATCTACACCGCTATCATGTGCCGGAACGCTCTTTAAAAAATTCTCTTATAGTAAAATATTGGAGCGATTACAGTGACTCGCCGTACTGTGCATAACAGCAGCAAAAAGTTCTGCGCTAGAAACTTCGTATACAAACTCGTTGTGCAAGGAGATGAAAGACGAAATAAACCACATACCCACATTCTTTCTCTGGGAAGGAAGTTTTCAAGCTACGTTCAAGAAGGGTGGATGGCGCAGGAGCACGTGACCCGCCTGTGGTACATATATACAACGATGGAATAAAGGTGGCTGATGGAGTGGGCGCTGGATACTACTGCTCTAAGCAAAATTCCAGAGGACTGCCCTAGTTTCCATGTGGAGGTCTGCGCTATTGAGAATACATGAACTAGGACTAAGTGTAAGCGGCTGCAAATATACCGTGTTCCAGGTCACACGGGCGTTATGGGCAAGAGGTTACTAAAAGTATCATATTTGTCTTACATGTTCACGTAAGGACTACGGGACAGTTTTTGGCTTAATGTCGGGCCACAATCTACCTGAATCCTACGTTAATCGAATGGGTATTAATAGTAGTAAGCAGGGAGGAAGGCATGAGGTAGACCTTAGAACACTTACTCTGTTTCTGTATGGGCTTAGCCAAAACTTAACGTAGCTAATTGGAGCTTCGCAGTTCAAAGCACCAGATGTTTCGAAATCAAATTCGAAGACTACTTTAGATCCCAATAAAACATACCTCTAACTAGCTCCGACCAGTACATACTAACATAACCTAACATTCAAATCAGCTGTTTCCTGTGCTCCGCTGCATTAAAGTTTATTCAATTAACCTAAATTTTCTAATTGCGGCCGCCCCTCTGCGGAGAATGTCAAGCTCTGCGGGGAATGCCAAGCTCTCCGAGTGTATTTCTGACATAAAATAGCAGCTTCTCATAACAAACCATCAGTCTTTCGGAGACAACTTAGTATAAACCCATTGTCTTATGACACGATGCCTTATATGGATGAAAAAAAAGTTTTCGTTCGAGACTAGTTTATGGACAGCCGGATTTGACACAGATTTAACGGACCAAGAGATGTCACCCTTTCGGAGGGCGATCTAACCCGCTTTATGTAACCGCTGTTGGGACTAGTATCATTCACTACTGCAAAAAAGGCTTCTTTCGTCAAATTATTATCAAATTCTAGAAATCGCTCATCCTTGTTGTCCTTATATAATTGTGCGCAGCACAGAATGTTAAGAACTTGGTTTCAGAGCTTTCGAGAGATGAGGAACTAACGCAGCGCGTAGAGTCTTCGGTGATCTTGTTAACTGAAAGTGGCGCCAAATAACAAACGGAAGAAGCGATTGGCTTCTACTGCCATCGGTTTCGGCTATTGCCGTCTAAGCTTAGCTAATGAAAATTAAGAAGACAAAGAAGCAGTTTGCCATCATTATGGATCATTTACCGTTAAAAACCCGCATAGTAATTATAATATATATGTAGGTGTAGGCGATTGTCAAAATTCCAATTGAGTAAAATTTTACCCATTGATTTTTTTCATTTTCGAAAACTGTAAGGTATGGTGGCGGATGACGCTGTATCCAATTAAAACATTTGGTGGATGTAGAAATCATTTATTCAAACTACTGGAAAAATGGATTATGGCAATAAATAGAAGAAATTGATGGTTATAAAATTCCAGAAAATGTTTCAATTTAGTTGGAGTTGCAATTTGGACATGAGAAGTAGCTGGTGAATGTCTTAACGCAATTGGCATGAGCCTCTCGACTGCAAGTATCACATATTCGGGAATTGTTGCAGTTGAGCAGAAGAGACTTAGTTCCTGGCACAGAATATAAACATCTCAATCAACATATTTTCCTAGTTCATCTCCCTTGGCTTTTTTGTTGAAGATTCTCCCGATGGTGATCTTTTTGATGGCCTTTTTCTACTTTCAGCTAGCGCTTGCTTCGCTCTGACTGGAGTTTTTTTTTAGGATATCTAATTTTTTGAGTTAGGCTTCATGTCCAATTGATTTCTAAGCATCATGTAGAGTTGATGTATAAGTGGTTAGGCGTGATATGCTGCCCAAACCCGATGTACTAGGCGCCCCAGATAATTCAAAACTCAGAACTTCCTGCGTAGCAGTCAATCGTCGATTTAATCAATGGAGTGTCTCAATTTGGCCCATATATACGTTCCATATATACCTTCCAGCCTATATATATGTTCCATATATTTGTCTGAATTAATTTACAAAAAGTCTGCACCTATCAAAGAACTCATTTTGATTTTTATTCACTACTTACTCATTCGAAATCACGCAGATTACTACTACTAGCTTATATGAAATGTCATCACGGTGAAAAACATCGACCATAGTGTTAGACCCGCTCATACATGGCTGATTTGATATCTTCGCCACCATACCTTACACTCCCCTAGCCAATTTAGACTGGTCATGGTCTGCCGGATTGTCGGATGTCTCGCAGTTTGCAGAGTTTAGTAGTTTGGTTTTCAAGACAATTAGCAACAAAGAAAACGTAACAACTAAAATACAAATAGCAGGAATAGATGCGATAACAGTAATTTTGTCGTGCACTCACTTATTTTTTAATAGTTTGCTTAACTGTCTGGAAATTTGTTTATGCCCAGTATTGGTAAGAGAGAACTAAGCTGGTGAGATATATAACTGTTATATTTACTTTAGCCCAACCCACACCATGCTTAGAATAGTATAAAAAGAATTCACAAAAGTCTTAGACAGTGTCTTTTTAGTTTGCTGCGTGAAGTATATACGGACATATCAAAATGAAGACTCTCTGCATAATTCACTTAGCATTTCTTATGAAAGTCTACTTCGCGAGTGCAAATTCACCAGAAGTTTGTATTGACACTTTGGGATGCTTAGAAGGTGTTTATAAGCCGAACAGCGAAGGAGAGCAGTATGAAGCCTTCTACGGTGTACCATTTGCCAAACCGCCGGTCGGTGAATTGCGGTTTAAGGTGAGTTTAATGAGCAGGTAGAGTTTATACATTCAGCGATCATGTGGCTAGCAAGGCACGCCGAGAGAGACATGAGGTGGAACTTTGACTAATTTTCTAATTGCCTTCGCTCCTCGGCAGGGTTTGTCAATCGCACCGAGTGTGTTTCTGACTTAAAATAAAAAAACTCCTCATAAAACTCCATGAGTCATTTGGAGGCATCTTGGCATAAACTGTGGGTGATCCACTTGTTGAAAGAACATCAAGATGCACCCCACAAAGCAGCGTGGCCGAAGATAAATGAATGAATGTTTGCACTTTGTTACAGAATCCGGTAGCTGTAGAGCCATGGGAGAATAAGCTTTTAGTCAAGGAACCGAAGGCTGAATGCATCCAACACAATTATCTATATTATCCGACTAGTACGACTGGCGAAGAAGATTGCTTATATTTGAATGTTTATCGCCCCGTGGTAAGTTATGTGAAACATTGATTTGATACAATCGCCGTGGAACATGTTTAATGATCGTCTCTTGAATATTTCAATCAGAATTCCACTTCAAAAAAATTACCCGTTTTGTTTTACATCTACGGTGGTGGATATTCTTGTGGTTCTGAAAATCCAATCTTAGCTGGACCGGAATATTTTATGGACACAAAGGAGGTCATTTTGGTTATACCCGGATATCGCTTGGGTATTTTTGGTGAGTATTGTTGCTAAAACTCCACAGTAGTGGCGATTGGTTTGAAGTGCGTAAAATTGTGCGAAGGGTCATGTGCTCGTGTCCTAACAAAATCAAGTTATATAAGAAATATTTCTAATTGTGACCGCTTAGTGGCAGGGAGTAGCGTCTACTTCGAGTGTTTTAAAGCTTCTCAACAAAGTCCGGCAGGCATCCGTAAGCGGCTGAGGAAAAATGATTTCTAGATGCTCTGAACTATGCCAGTGCCTTCGTATACATCGTTCCATCTTCTGCGAAATTCGTTGTTGCGCAAAACTTTCACATAGAAAGCTCCTGGTGTCCATTTATCGAATGGAGTGGTACGGGAATGATGAGATCTTTTTATATATTGTTCTTTGTTCGTCAGGAGAGGACTTTACTTTTCAATTGCCTAAATTGTCAGTCTAAAGAGCGACTCTGTGCTGGATTTCAGGGCCGGCCATGGCTTCAAAGTTATGACTGTCAACAGTGAGGTCGGAGCCGAGTCACGATTACGATGAATATTTGTTTACAATTCGTAATATATGTATATCGCCTTCGCCTCGTATTGCGGCGGCACCCCTAGTTCGGTTACTTCATCCCTTGCATTCGGTCAGCAGAAAACATGCTACTGAAAATCGCTAGTTGATGCAGCAGATTTTTTAGTTCTTCTTGTAGCATCCGCTCGCTGTGGCAGGGAATGAGGAGTACCAATTCAATCAATGATAAATGAAAATTTTTTCCTATGTTATCTCAGTACCGCTAAGTGGACGATATCTACTTTCGTCTTGCTTTAATACTTTCATTTTCTAATGCCAACTAACAACTTTTACAGGTTTCCTTAGCACCGGCGATGAGCAGATGTCTGGCAACTTTGGTTTGAAGGATCAGAATTTAGCACTTCAATGGGTAAATAAATATATTGATTCGTTCGGCGGCGATCCAACGCGTGTCACCATTTTCGGACACAGCGCTGGTGGCAGTTCAGTGCACTACCAAATGTTAAGTCCTGCCTCAAAGGGTCTCTTCCGCAATGCCATACTTGTGAGTGGCACTGCCATCAGTCCATTTATCAACTATGTGGATGCCAAACCGCAAGTTGTTAAATTGGCCAACGCAGCGGGATTTACAAATACAAGCCAAATGTCTACGAGTGAACTTGCCAACGCACTACGCACTGTCGATGCATTCGACTTACTGAAAGCAAGCGAGTCGCTGAGTACTTGGGAGGTATGGCCGCTCATACGTCTACGCCCCGTTATCGAACAGGAATCATGGCCGAATGCTTTTATGACCGAAGATGTCTTCAATTTGGTTGAAAATAAAAATATCAAAACTGTACCATGGATTGGTGCGTCTATGACACCGAAGGGTGAGGGTGTTATTTTCGCGCTGAGACTTCTTGGACATGCGAACTTACGTGCGGAATTCAATAAAAATTTTGACGAATTATTCAAAGTGGTGCTGGACTTACCTGCTAGCGGCAAACCGACTGAGGTTGCTGCAGTCACAGAACGCTTACTGGCGGAGTATATGGGTGGTGTGCACGAGCTAAATAATGCCACATTAGATGGTTTCCTTGAGGTGGGTTCGACCGATTGTAGATTTTGCGTGAAAGAATCTTAAGTATTAAGCGAAGTATTCTTCTTCTTTAGCTTTTAGGTGATTATAATTTCGTACATCCGCTATATAAAGTCATTGTTTTGAATGTAAATGGCAGCGCTGCGAATCGTAGTCTAGAAGGATTCATAAGATTCAACTACACCGGACCTTATTCATTTTCGCCGTCATTCACAAACAGCTCCGCAGATTTCGGTGCTATACATGTGGACGATATGATATATCTCTTTACCTTACCGTCAGTAGTACCTAATGGTTTTTCGAAATCCTCACCTGAGGCTGAGCTCATTAAAAAATATGTTGGAATTTATGTGGAATATGCTAAAACAGGGTGAGTTCACGAAGAGAAGTTTAAATTTATAGGCAATTAACTTCTTTCTATCTTTTTGTAACTCAGAAAAACTGAAGTCTTCAACGAGGCGAGCTCTTGCACAAAGAATGTTCTACAGAAATCCAATGACTCTGAGTTTTGCGATCATTTGTCCGTCGTCAATGCGCCGAATCCCTTCCAAATTGACAATAAATGGCGTGTTGACCGTATGAAATTGTGGGATTATGTTTACAACACTCTGAAGTAAGCTTTAAGGCACAACGCCAAAAGGTTAGGCATTAATATATTTATAAACATAAATATATATTTAATAGTGTAATTTAATTGTGGAGCCTTGAAAATAACTGAATAAATATTCCATACGGAACTCATATGAAGAAATGCAATATTAAGCAATTATTACCGGAAGAAGGTTATAAGTACGAAGGAATGTTTCTACGAATGGGTAATGAGAGGGTTGTTGGGGATTATTAGACTCATTAGGTTCGTTACGTGTTCAGCGACCATTTTACAAATCTTGTACGATCATCTTGGTATGCTCACGCCTCCAAAAAAGCAACATCGCGTAGAGAGATCATGTCTATTTTTGGACCTCTGTAATTAAAAAAACTGTGAATTGTGACTGGAAACAAAACTGCGGATCAACATCATGAACCAGAGTCGAAACAAGACTCCGTGAAGTGATATAAAAAGAGCACATCGCCTCCTAAGAAGGTTAAGATGTCACAGTCAGTTAAGAAACTCGTGGCGACGAGCCGTTTGGCACTCGGAAGGAATATTATTGATCGGTTATAAATATAAATGTGTTTCTATAACTGGGAAATATTACGCTTTCACTTGAAATCGGGCACGAACTTATGCACTCATCCAATATTAGAGTGACTAAAAGAAGTCGTTAAAGGAAAAACGGAGAAAATTTATAAAAGGTGTGTTGCTTTTGTACGATAATGCGCTCGTCCACAGGAGCTGCGTTGCCTTGGCTGCCCTGCATAAGGTGGACTTCGATATCCAGAATCATCCACCTTACCGCCCAGACTTGGCCCCGATTGATTATTACTTGCTTCTGAAAATAAAAGAAGTAGTTAGGAGTAAAAAATGTTAGAGGAATGATGATTAATTAAAAGATGTACGATGAAAAATGTTTTCATTTTGAAGGTGAATATATCAGGTGTACAACTTTGCTTCCGCCGTTTTCCGTAAGGTGGCTGTACCGGCTGGGGCTGGTTGAAATACATAGATGATAATGCCTTTAAAGTGAGTGTGGACAGTGCCTAATGAATTGTCATCGCCGTTTTAGTGACAGTTGTTCTTGTTTTCGTATTATTCACGCTCGAAAATGTCCGTTTATGTGCCTAATTCTCGCCATTTGCGGGAAGTTTTACTTTTCTGTTACAATTCGAAAAAAAAAATGCAGCTGAAGTGCATCGAATGCTCTCAGAAACTTACGGTGATGCTGCTCTGAGTGAAAGAACGTGTCGGGAGTGGTTTCAACGTTTTAAAAATGGTGAATTCGATGTCGAAGACAAATATGGTGGTGGAAGAGAAAAAACCTTCAAAGATTTACTACGAGCTCTTAAAACCGGGTAAAACCATCACAGGAGATCGCTACCGAACGCAACTGATGCGCCTTAGCCGCGCGCTTAAAGGAAAGCGGCCACAATATCAAGAGCGACATGACAAAGTCATCCTCCAACGCGACAATGCTCTGCCTCACGTCGCAAAAGTGGTCAAAAAGTACCTGGAAACGCTGAAATGGGAAGTCTTGCCCCACCCGCCGTATTCCCTAGATGTCGCCCCTTCTGACTTCCACCTATTCAGTTCGATGGCACACGGCCTGGCAGATCAACATTTTCAATCCTTCGAGGAATTGGAAAAATGGATTGCTTCATGGATAGCGTCAAAAGAGGACTCCTTTTTTCGAGCCGAGATCCGAAAATTGCCGAAAAGATTGGAAAAAGTTATCGCTAGCGAAAGACAATACCTTGAATAATATATATGTAAGCAATTTTTCGCAATAAAGCTTTTAGTTTTGGAAAAAAAACGGCGGAAGCAAAGTTGTACATCTGATATTTAAACGATTTTTGCCAATATCAGAACAGTTTCTTGTATAAGATTAAACAAAGGCATTTCTCTTTCTTGAATAAATAAATGCCCTTTATCAAGGACGGGAACCGCTTTGAAACTTTTACTCTTTTCGGTGAATAAGCCAAGTTTTCTTTTACTGGGCTTTATACCGTTTCTGACTGTTACAACCGAACAACCTCCCTCATAGGACGTCACGTCATGCTAAGGACTTGCTAACCTGACCTGAGACTAGAAGAACTTTTTTTATTGTGTCTCTAGAGTGAGTGGTTTTTCACCACTAAAAGAGAAATCAAAAAGAATACAATAGATAATGGAAGAAAATATAAATGGAGCATTCAGACTCACTAAACGACGTATTCGGATGAAAGCAAGTAAACCAGTTTTTTTGTGTTTAATAAGCCGTAGCTTTTAATAATAAATGCTTCTCATTGTAATAAACCAACCGCTCTTAGACATTTTCAGAAAAGAGTAATAATAATAATAATAATAATAATGACTCACTCCAAAAAGTTCGTCAGAAATAGCTTAAGCGAATAATTTATTTAAAAAAATTCAATTCATTGAGACATTCATTTGCATGAGACTGAGATTAACAAAAGTATAATTAGGTGAGAATTAACAAATTTTTCGCGACAGCGACAGCCGAGTCGCGTCTACTGCCTTTTCGGAAGGCCGGAGTTCGAGTCCTGGTCGGACCAACAACCAAAATTTATAGAAAATTAATTTAAATTAAAAATTAAGTTAATTCTTCTAGGAGTACAGTGGAAGATATGTCGTCTTAATTGGCTTAAGTAGCGGCACTAGCAAGAGTAATGCTCCAGAGTTTCCTCACCCTCTGCACTTGCTGGGCACTCTGCCGATTATAACTTTTTAATTAATATTTTAAAGAGATGATACATGAGGGCTAGATAGTGTAGCTAAAGGAATCATCACTCTGCTCCATACCACCCTATGGTAATTTAATAGTTCGTTGCTTTGGTATTGTTCAAGGACCTTAAGTGTTCCTCTAGGCTCCACCGTTCAGATGATTTTTGAAGGCGCTGAGAGGACCGTTTTACTACACGGTTTACGCTGCTATAAGTGTTTTATGGAATATATGGAGCTTTTGCGCCAGCCATTCGCCTCTAGCTCCAGCTGACAAAAGCTTGCCGACAATCAGACGAGGGATTACGTAGTCTATTCAGATTGAAGTGCTGATTTTTACCTATCTCGCATCAGTTAGGAATGTCTCGTGTGATGGTGGAATGCTCAAAATCGCATGTAGTGCTACATATGGTGTTGTTTTCAATGATCCGGTGAAGACCCTTTCCAATGTTATCTTGTTCATAGCATATTAAAGCAACATAGAAAAGTTTTAGGTTAATAAGCGCAACGAAGATCTCTTAAGAAGTGACAGAAAATAAACTTAAAGTTTAGCCCTGCACCCTTTTATATGAATATAGGAACGCTGCTCTAAATTGAGTTCCCACGACAACTTGCTATCCTACAAAATTGCTAGGTATTGGATGAGTGCATTAGTTCGTGCCCGATTCCGCTGGATGCCGTTCGAATCGTTTGAGAGTGGCGCTCGTGAAAGAAATATATACATATCATATATCGTTGGAAAGGTGACAGTCCGAACTGTAAATCAAGCATAAAATAACTTAATTTTGATTTGAGTTGCTTAGTGAAAAGACGCATATACGAATTCCGCAAAGGAAAAACAGTTGGCGCTGCAACTAAAGATATTCGTGAAGTTTATTCGGACCGTGCTCCAGCACTCCGCACAGTAAAGAAATGGTTCGTGAAATTTCGTTCTGGAGATTTTAACCTCGAAGATCAACCTCGTAGTGGACGGCCTTCTGAGCTTGATGACGATGTTCTAAGGACTTTAGTTGCGAATAACTCACGTATTTCGACGGAAGAGGTTGCCAGCGAATTGAACAACAGTCAACAAATCAACTGCGTTTCGTCGTTTAAAAAAGGTTGGGTACATTTTGAAGCTCGATACATGGGTGCCACATCAGTTGAGTGAAAAAAACAAAGTGGACCGTATGTCAACAGCAATTTCTTTGCTTCGACGGATCAAAAACGAACCTTTTTTGGATCGGCTCGTGACTGGTGATGAAAAATGGATCCTGTATAATAATGTTCAACGCAAAAGAACATGGAAACAGGCACACGAAGGGGCGGAACCGATGCCGAAAGGTGGATTGCATCGATGAAGGTACTGCTGTGCATTTGGTGGGATATCCGAGGCGTGATCTATTTTAAGCTCTTGCCAGCTGGAGAAACGATCACTGCCAACAAGTATTGTCAGCAATTGGTCGAATTGAAGAAAGCAATTGATGAAAAACGTCCGATTTTGGCCGATCGCAAAGGAGTTCTTTTCCATCATGACAACGCCAGGCCACATGTTGCAAAACCGACCCTGGCCAAACTGAAGGAGATGAATTGGGAAATCATGCCGCATCCCCCATATTCACCCGACATTGCACCTTCTGATTATCATTTGTTTCGATCGCTGCAGAACAATTTGAATGGAAAAAAATTTAAAAATGTGGAAGACGTCAAAAACCACCTTGACACCTTTTTCAACGAGAAACCGCGCGATTTCTATGAATCAGGCATCCGTAAATTGGTTAAACGTTGGGAGTGGATTGCCCAGATGTTAATTGTTCTACCGCCCCCGATGGCTGAGTTATGGACCGCATAGACTGTAAGCATGTTAGCTCCCACAGTCGTCTTCTACAGCAAGCCAATAACCCCAAGAGTTCAGAGCAGAATGAAATTGCGTTGGCGAGACTTGTTTGATAAAATCTTTGGACTTAGATTTTTTCCTTAATAAAAGCAATGAAAGTATGTATATATATGTTAATTGGGAATACCTTAAAATTTTTCCATTTACCATAATCTCTTTGGAATAGCCCAGAAATAACGCTTTTAGCATTTTTTTTTTTTTTTTTTGAAATCATTACAAGTATTTTGTTTATCTCTAATGACAAATATGACATTTATGCCGCCTAATTACTTCCAGTTGGGTATAAAAGTCCCATACTTTGTTTCATAACACTTTAAGTTGTTTTTCTATAGACATACAAATTACCGTTAATATGCAGGGAAAAGCATTGGCGTTAATATTTTTAGCCTATTTCACAAACAACGGTCTCACACTCGTAGAGGCAAACTTGCCGAAAGTGTGTTACAACACATCGACTTGTGTACTCGGCCGTTTCATGCGTGGCAATGAAAACTGTTCATACGAAGCTTTTCTGGGCATACCGTATGCCAAACCGCCTATCGGAGAATTGAGATTTAGTGTAAGTTAGTCAATTTATATGAAATTATATACTTACATACTCGCACATGACAGAATCCGGAAGAGGCTGTATTATGGCAAGGCACACTGCCAGCACTTTATGCGAAACCAGATTGTATACAAAAGAATTATATCCAACAATATCCAACTATCACCGGCTCAGAGGATTGCCTCTACTTGAATGTTTATCGGCCGAAGGTAAAAAAAAATACAATAATAATGCGAGTATTTTATAAATTTTTAACACGGCTTTTGCATATTTTTCGGGACAGAAACGAACCGCTGATAAGCTGCCAGTACTATTTTATATACACGGTGGTGGGTTCTTCAGTGGCTCACCGAATCCATTAAATCTGGGACCTGAATATTTTATGGATACAAGCGAAGTGATTGTGGTTGTGCCAGCTTATCGATTGGGTCCATTTGGTAGGTTATACTCATATATATTTAAACAACAAGTCTTTCTTCTCGCGGTAGCAGCCGATTTAGCCACAGCATGTCAGTCCTTTTTACTTTTCGCTATTTGAGGCCAGAACTCTAGTCCTATCCAAAAATTATAGAAATGTAATTTAAGAAAAAAATTAAGTTAAATTTTCTAATTGCGGTCGCTACCGGTAGAGAATGTCAATGCCTTCGAGTGTATTTCTGACATGAAACAACAACTTTTCAAAAAACCATTGGCCGTTCTGAGGCGGCTAAGAATAAACTGTAAGTCTCTTCATTTTTTGGGAAACCATCATGACGCTCACCACAAATCGAATGAAGAGCTCGGCCGAAAATCGCTTCAGTGGTTACAAAATGCAAAATCCCCTTATATAAGTGGCAGGTCTTCTCTTCTCCACCTGGTTTTTCCAACGGAGTACATGTTTTCCTCTTCGTTTGCTCACTCAATGCCACGAATACTTTTAAAGCTGGAGTACTCTCAATTCGGAGTAGATGACCTAGTCAGTCAAGCTGAATTATCAGTGGCTGTAATCGTCCAGGGCTCCACATCAAATAGCAGGTCCTTGATCGTTTTTTCCTTCGATTCAATTCATTCAATTGCTTTTGGCAAGAGCGATTCTGCGCTGGATTTCAAGGCTGACATTGCTGTTGGTGTAAATGCTGGTGCCTAGATAGACGAAATTAGCTACGACTACGATACAAGTCTTTACTTTAGTAATATTTTCATACACATTTTATTGTCTTCTGAAACTCTTGCATAATTTATTCTTATTTCCTTTATTTTTTAATATGTTTGGCTTGCAGGTTTCCTCAGCACGAATGATACTGCGATGACGGGAAATTTCGGTCTTAAGGATCAGAACTTGGCACTAAAATGGGTTCAACAATACGTTTCCTACTTTGGTGGCGATGCAGATCGTGTGACTATTTTCGGACACAGCGCTGGTGGTACAGCTGTAAATTTCCATTTGTTGAGCGCCGCCTCGGAAGGTCTCGTTTCAACGAACTCTGCTATGTATTCTTTAGATTTTCATTTTTAATGTTTTTCAGATCTATTTCATAACGCTTTCATAATGAGCGGCGTTGCAACCGCACAATTTGCTAGACCTCTAAGTGATCCACAGGCACAAGTCGTGCAATTGGCTAAAGCCCTTGGCTTAAGGGGTGCCGATTACATGGACTCGACTGATTTAGTTAAGATTTTGCGCGGTGTAAATGCGCGCATGCTGTTACGAGCTGTTGACGATTTGAAACTTTGGAATGTACATCCACTGGCCACATTTCGTCCGAATATTGAGCTCGACACCTGGCCGGGCGCATTTCTAACAGATTACCAAACAGAGTTTCGCGTATCAAACGAGCCCAAACCCCTAATCATTGGTCATATGCCGTCGCGAGGCGAGGGTTTGGTCTTAGCACTACGTCTAGCAAGTAATGCCAAACTACGCAAGGAATTCAATGCTAACTTTATGAAGTCCTTGAGCATCATACTGGATTTATCGGCTGAAAGTGATACAGAGGAAGTGATGAGTAATCTAGTTAATACTTATATGGATGGAAATTATGAAGTGAATGCTGCTACATTGAATGGCTTCTTAGAGGTACGCGTACACACAAACATACAAACATATTGTATGTATGTACATACAAACGAATTGAATAATACCGTTGGTTTAGCTTTTAGGCGACGCCTATTTTGCGCATCCCACATATAAAACGATTGAAGCGAATTTGAGAAGCAACACAACGTCGCTGAGAGGTCTAATCAAATTCGGATATCGTGGACGTTACTCCTACTCGAAACTATATACCGGCAGCTCAAAGAATTTCGGCCCTGCACATGTTGATGATTCCTTGTTTTTGTTCAAAAACCCCGTCAGCTTTCCGGCAGGTTATCCAAAAACTTCGCGTGAGGCTGCTTTGGTCAAACGTTATGTAGGTTTGTTAGTGGATTTCGCCAAAACTGGGTAAGTGAGCTCGAACTTGAAATTAAAACTAATAAATTTCAAAATTTTTTTCAATTTTTGCTTTTTAACAGAAATGCCGCTGCATTCGATGATATGGCCGAGTGTACCTACGATGCTTTCACGCAGGGTGCTTGTGAGCATTTGTGGATCGAAAATGGCGCTGAACCATTTCAAACTTGTGATGTCTGGGAAACGGACCACTTCGATTTGTGGGACGAGATAATCGGCTATTGAAAAGATCGAACGTTCTCACTGAAGAAATCGTCATAATAAATTTTCAATCTCAGTCAATTTATTTGGTTTGTCGAAATTGATTTTTCACTTTCGAAAATAAATTAGTGTCAAAAACCAAAGATATCAATCTTATTATTTTCTTCATGTAAGTAAGTGGCCTCTGTCAGCCGAGCGCCGGACGCTCACAGTCTAGCCGCTCCGCTGTCTCGTCCCATTTATTGTATTACCTGGCCTTTGCCGTCTTCTACTAGTCTTTAATAGAAGACATGAGCACTCCGTTAATAAACCTCTTAGAAGCCCTTTTTTGACTGCAACAATCGAAAGGTTATTACGTACTACTATACGAAAGGCCTGTGTTCCGGTCTTGGTTTGACCAACATCAAAGAATTAACTATTTTTTCCACGTTCCCTTGTCCTTCGGCAGGGAATGTAATGCCCTTCGAGAATATATCTTTTGCAGCAGCTATTGTAATCAGTCGGCCGTAAACTGAGGCGAATTTTCTTTTACGCCCTCAATCGTATCGAAACGGGTTCCACTGAGTGGTAGCTCGCATGATGCCAAATCCGGTGAACACGGTGGTTCATCAATGGTATTGAACGAGTTCATCTTAAAATTGTTCATAATTACAGCATTCCCGTCATCAAAACTCCACTTGTTGGCCCACAATTCCGACCGTTTACGACCGAAGTTTTCGCGCAAGCGCTCAAATAATACTCTTTATTGACCGTCTTTCGCGTTGGAACAAATTCATGAAGAACCGAACAGTGTCTAGTGTTAACTCTTTTAATTTTGAAATACCGACAAGAACTCACTGTAAGCGTGGAGAAAATGGTGGTCTGCCTCTTTCCAAGGAATGGAAATAATGACCAATTTAACTCACCAACCTTAAGGTATAATATTTTACAATCTTCCAGCACGGTCAAGTATTTCAAAACAGTTCCTGCTTAAAATTTAGCTGGAGGGAACATATTATTGACAGCATAACCAACAAACAGCTCCGATGTTGGAATTTCTATTGCTCCAAAACGGCGCTTGTGACCCTAGTTGATGCACTGATTTTACACGAGTGTCATAGGTTCCATGCCAACATGTGGAGTACTGATATGGCGGCATATGGCACAATGTGACTGGAGAAAAGAAGCCTTTCTACCCGTTGCAAATTACCTGGTCCTCCCCGAATAGGCCTAAAGGTTACATTTGGTGAAAATTTTTTTATCTATACTGATGGGTCTAAGTGCGAGGCAGGCGCAGAAACAGATATCAGATATTGTGGGCAATAACGAAGGTAGAGCAACTGATTTAGTGCTTAAAGACTTTCTACAATTGTTGACTACACTAATTAATCTTTTCTGACGACAAGGCCAGCAGTCTCGCCCGAATGTCTGTGTACATGATTGCTTTCCGCACCCTCCCGTTGTTATTCAAAAGAGCTCCATAGACCTTCTGTATATATCTAGTAGTTTCGCTTGGAAGATGCTAGCTGTGTCTCTTAGATGGATAGTTTGATCCTTAGAGTGCGCTCCCGTCTCTACTCCCCAGTCCATTTTGGACCAATCGGTATAGATTGAGATGGTATTTCCCTTCCTTACTGAATCTCTACTCCATTCACGTTTAAAGCTTATTCTCACTAGGCAGCAGTAATTGAAATTCAATCTTGGAGATTCATCCAGTTCGATATATTTAAAGTTGTTATAAGATAGTTCAACCAGCTTGTCACCCAACTTCTTCGTTCTTATAGCAGAACGTACTGCTATTTACAGAATGAAAACGTCTATGGGTAGTAGACGCAGGAGCACATTACATATGCTCTTGCAAGCGTAGTAAGCTTTCCTCATTCGGCTTTCAAAGATTATTTTTTAGTTCTGTTTGGTATAGATCTTCACCCTCAGATATTAATCTGTTGAGCACTGAAAATTGCTGTTCCATTATGTAAGGGAAGCTGAAATGGATGTCGCTCTTTCGATAATCTCAGTGATTGTGCAAGGGAAGAACCTTCATCTATCAACACTACATCGTCTGCATACTGCTTTCTCTTCTCCTCCGTTGAGTCGGAGCAGTATATCGCTCAGAGCACACACCACACATAAAAGCGATGAAAGGACACCCCTTGAGGAGTCCCTCTGCTAACGTACGCTGCTCGCATCGCTAAGTCGAAATTAAATGTTTCATTTTAAATGTTTTGGAAATGAGAAAAAAATTACTTTTTTGTTATTATTATTACTATTTTTTCTTCAAATAATCTCAAAACTTCACAAACCTCTCATGCTTCTGACCTATTTAAATTTGTATTTGCTTTAATAAATACTCAGGCCTTTAGTAATGGCTACAAGTGTATGTGTAAGTACGTATGTGCAACGAAGAAAATGCGACATTGAAAATTTTCAAGCTCACACGCGCCTGTCAAAATTAAGGGCACAAGACATGGCAGAAGAAGACTTGAAAATATGCGTGAATAAAAAAAAAAACACCGTAAACAATGTAATTGCATGCAAGAAAGCGGCTTCAATGCAACTGAATTGCAATACAACCAAGAGATGTTAATCAAAGATACGAAAAATAAATAAATAAATAAAAAATAAACTGCAATACGCATTGAAGACACTGCATTGAAGACACTTGCATGGGTAAGTGCATCTGTTTGTCCAGCGATCATTCCGGTTCATTTTCAAGGACAAACTGCGTCTCTTGCACGTGCGTTGCAATATTTGTATGTATGTACATATTTTATTTTGTAAATATTGGCACAAGCTTGCGTAGTGAATTTGTAGAGATCTGTGAGAGGAGAGGAAGAATTGAATTTCAAATATGAAAACTCAAACCGCAAATTTCGATGACCTATAGCTCAAGAGGCCGAAAGTCGATTCAGTAGATTAGTAATTCGACATCTCTAACAGAAGTGTGACCTTATTGAGGTCCTTGAGTTGTTCACACAGACACTCAATTAGCTAATTGATAAAAATTAAGACCCCAGAAAATTTAATTTTCCCAACAACCGTGTTTTTTATTTAGGTTACAAGATTATTATTATTGAAAAGTGTTGTGGGAAGCAAACTACTGAGAGAGAGAGAAAGAGAGAAAATTATTATAATTTATTATTTTTGGAGGCTGACTTCGTTAACTCTTAAATGTACCGAAGGTGAAGGTGTCGGTGTATAAAGAGCAGCTATCATATGTTAATATGACAGAGAAGAAGAGAAAGCAGTATTCATTAACCCGTCTAATCTATGAATTTATGGGGTAGGGGTTCTTTTCCGCAGTAAGACATGCTTGTCGTTCGAGGCGACTAAAATTCAGCAGTTCCCGCAACAGTCCACTCGAATTTTTATTCGGCCAAGGCCTTAGCATATTTTATGGTAATTTATGTATATACTTTCGATATGACTGCTTGTAGGTTTCATATTCATACTTTATTTAATCAGAATATATCTATTATTTTTGTTGCATTCCATTTCTTAAATTTATTTATAAATGTACATATGTATTTACGTGTGTCTGTTAATGGCTTTGGTTAATATGCAGAGATAAGAGATATCGGTGTTTGCCCTAAAAACAACTAAAATAAAGAAAACGCATTAGAATACTCGTATATGTATTTACGTATGTATGTTTGTATGTATGTATTGTAGACTCGTGCGTGAAAGGTGCAAAACTCATTATGCTTTTTTTTAAATTTTGAAGTTAACAAATAATTTTTACTACACCTTTTTTATGTTTTGTTTGTTTTCATTTAAACTCATTTTGTTATTAATACAATACATTTAATTATTTTATTTCATTTTATTTTTTATTCATTTTATTTTATTTTATTTTATTTTGTTTAATTTTAATAAATTTTTTTTTAAGTTATTTTACGTTATTTAATATAATTTTTTTAAGCTCATAAAAATAAGCTCATTTTATTTATTTTTAGTTTATTTTACTTCGTTTTATTTAATTTTGTTTTACTCTATTTTATTTTCATTAAATTTAATTGAGTTTAGTTATTTTATTTTATTTTAATTTCATTTAATTCATTTTATTTTATTTTGATTCTATTTTAGTTTTCATTTTTTTATTTTATGCAATTTTATTTAATTATTTTTTTTTCTCTTTTTTCTTTCTCTTTACTTCATTTATTTAATTTTACTCTATATTTTTCAATTTACTTTACTTTTTTTATTTTGTTTATTATAATTTATTTTTTCACTATATTTTATTTCTTTTTATCAGGTGTACAACTTTGCCTCCGCCGTTTTCCGATTGGTGGCTCTACCGGCTGAGGCTGGTTGAAATACATAGATGATAATGCCTTTAAAGTGAGTGTGGACAGTGCCTAACGAATTGTCATCGCTGTTTCAGTGACAGTTGTTCTTGTTTTCGTATTATTCACGCTCGAAAATGTCCGTTTATGTGCCTAATTCTCGCCATTTGCGGGAAGTTTTACTTTTCTGTTACAATTCGAAAAAAAAATGCAGCTGAAGCGCATCGAATGCTCTCAGAAACTTACGGTGATGCTGCTCTGAGTGAAAGAACGTGTCGGGAGTGGTTTCAACGTTTTAAAAATGGTGATTTCGATGTCGAAGACAAACATGGTGGTGGAAGAGAAAAAACCTTCAAAGATGAACAACTAGAAGCATTGCTTGATGAAGATTCGTGCCAAACCCAAGAACAGCTTGCCGAATCGTTGGGAGTGAGTCAGCAAGCCATTTCAAAACGTCTCAAGGCCCTGGGCATGATTCAGAAAGAAGGAAACTGGGTGCCGTACGAGTTGAAACCGAGGGACATCGAGCAAAAGTGGTCAAAAAGTACCTGGAAACGCTGAAATGGGAAGTCTTGCCCCACCCGCCGTATTCCCCAGATGTCGCCCCTTCTGACTTCCACCTATTCCGTTCGATGGCACACGGCCTGGCAGATCAACATTTTCAATCCTTCGAAGAATTGGAAAAATGGATTGCTTCATGGATAGCGTCAAAAGAGGACTCCTTTTTTCGAGCCGGGATCCGAAAATTGCCGGAAAGATGGGAGAAAGTTGTCGCTAGCGAAGGACAATACTTTGAATAATATATCTGTAAGCAATTTTTCGCAATAAAACTTTTAATTTTGGAAAAAAAACGGCGAAAGCAAAGTTGTACACCTGATAGTTTACATTTTTTTTATTTTATGCTATTTTATTTATATAATTTTTTTCTGTTTTTTCTTTCTTTTTACTTCATTTATTATATTTTTCAATTTACTTTACTTATTTTGTTTTTATTTTTTTTTGCTATATTTTTTTTCTCTTTACTTTGATTATTTTTTATTTTATTTTGCTAAATTTTTTTTTTTAATTCTTAATTATTTTATTTAATTTTATTATTTTACTACATTTTGTTGTTTTTTGTTTTATATTATTTTGCTTTTATTTTTTATTAGTTTTCCTTAATTTAAGTTACGCGTCTTTAAAATCATTAGCAAATGGAGTTCCCAGAATACGTTTACTACGAATAGGTGACACATTCTCGTATTGTATATATCGATGTATCTATGTATATCTTTGCATATACTATGAATCGTCATCACACACACGTGAATACGAAAAGATCTTTATGGTGATTTTCGACCATGCACTCCACTGATAAAAGGCTCAAACGACGCAAGAAGCTTTTCAGTGAACAAATTGTGCCTGAGTCAACTACTAGTTACTGGTGGCGACTGTTGTAAGATATGAAGAGTACGCAGTGAAAAGCTATCAAATATATAATTGATGGAATTTAAGATAAGCGTACGGATGAAATTATTTATATACTGTTAAAATAATATTTGAAATGTGCCAAAAAGGAATGCCATACGCAATCGATATTGAAATTCAGACAATTTGTACATATTGTACTATATATATTTGTATACAATATATCAATATCAAGATTTCAATATTGTGCAAGTCTATTCAATTAATGGCCAAAAATTGTTAAGTAACTTAATAATTGCGTCTGAACTTAATTTGTTAAAATCGAAAAACTTTTATATTTATTATAAATAAAAATAGTGTTGTGAATATTTTGGTTTTCGATGTGATGACTTCAAGAGTTCCGCTTATCAAACGCCGAACAGAATTCGTCTCGAATGTGTTCAATTGGAAAGGGGACAATCAAGTTGTAAACACCCCAAAATACACAGTTCAGGACTGTGAGACATCATATCTCATAATGTACCCTGAGAGCAATCTCTTTATGAATATTAACATCGCTTCGTAGGCAGAGAACGAGCATCACTCCATACATCCTTGCCTTATGACACTATTCACCCTTGTGCATATATCATAAAAAGGTCATTTAGTTCAATTGCTGTGGTTGCTACGCCACATCTAGACGATTAAGTGTCCTAGGCCTAATGTTCCGTTGTGATATTACTGTTAGTGAAAAGGTTCCTATGACGTTCCTAGTTATCCAAGCTATACAAGATGGTGAATTTATCCAAGGAAACGACATCGAGTCGCTATAAGTGCTCGATAGTGGCAGAGTTAATGATCTACCGACTACACAATAAAAAAACGGGTCGTAAAGGTAGAGTAGTACGATCGAGTAGATCCTCGCCGCCTAATCTGTTATAAAATAGGAGAGGAAGTAGTTCGACAGTGGTACCTTACCTATATTGTGCTCTTGACTCACGACATCTATCTTCTTGCTCTGCATGTGGCTTATATGTGTACATACATACATATGCGTCTAGTTGTGTTGTGATGTGATGTTGATGTTGTGATGTTGATGTTGTGATGTTGATGTTGTGATGTTGATGTTGTGATGTTGATGTTGACGTGATATGTTCGGTGTTGCTGAGTTGATGTTGGATGTGTGGGGATGTTTTGGTGCTGCTGTGGAGCTTCAAAGCGCTGGGCTTGTGGTCGTCACACTTTTCCCTGAAACCCAGATTGAGCACTAGATCTATTTTAGCCTTGATCTGGAGGCCGATACCACTGGGCACTTAGCCCACGTTTATTTATATAAGAATGATATATGCTTGTCACTTTATAACCGCTGAAGTGATTTTCGACTGAGTTTGTTCTGACCAATGATTTTCCAATAGTTTTTTTAAGACAAATTCCATTCAGAAATACATTTACTCTTGGGTGTTGATTTTCTCTTCCGAGAGGCGTTCGCAGTTGGAATTCTTTTCTTTTTTTTTAAAAATTTTCATTACTTTGGGATCTCAGACCGGATCAAGATCACTTGGCTACTGCGACCAACTGTGATTTTCCATAAATCGTTGCACTTAAGCGATACTTCTTACATCGGTGAAGTACACATGGACTCATTCGTGGCCTAAATACTATTATTTTTAATTTTATTAATAACGGGCTTAGAGAAGTTTCTGTCATTGCAATTATATATGTTTAAGCATTAACTTGGCTGGTTAGTTGAGAGGATTGAGAGCCTGCCCGCAATGGGAAGCACCTAAGCTAGCGTGACTGCCTATGATAAGCTGAAATTAAATGTTTTGCGAAAGTTATGACGAATGAATCAGATGAAGACCGAAAAGAGAGGGCTCCAGTCAATGTCACTCGACCTAGCTTTTGGAAATGATATTTCAGGGGTAATGCACTGTGTTGCTCCACAATAATTTAGTGGTACGACGTATGATGGATATGCTTTAGGCCTTTAAGTGATTGTCCATGATCTGTTGAAATGTCTAAAGAAGTCGTTGGCGATAATGGCCTCAGCGGTATGCACGTGAGCCACCTTTTCCGATGTAGTATTGCCTTCTACATCCTTGAGAACAGGCATACAAAGTGATGCTCACTGAGTCCATACTCGTATGGACTTTGCATTAACACTCTTAACTGCCGTAATTTCCCCAGGGAAGTTAGATAAAATCGTTTAAATTAATACTAATTAATTTAATTTGAAGCATAGAACCCGAAGATTATTGTTGAGTTATGGTTTTTTAGCGCGGGGAAATACTAAATTGATGAGCATTCGGCGAGATATGATTAGTGGCCAAATGTCTGCTTCGACTGCAATGGGTGTTTCAGGATTGTGTGGGCCGGAATACGAGCCTCTTTCCTATCGTCCTTTCCTTTGTAGTAGGGAAGGGCTGATAAATGAAATTTAATTGCCTAAGAAGCTAGGATGGAGTGTGAACAAAATGATTTATGTATTATATATATATGAGTATACTCAAATAACCATTGCAAGTTATTCAATTTATTTTATTTATCTATATATGTATTTAATCTCTTAATACCTTCAAACGTTTCGTTCGGGCTAAAAGCTCTTGCAAGCTTACTGATAAATAGTTAATAATATTTAGTTGAAGAAAGTGTATGGCATCAACTCTTGAGCTAATAATAAAACAATTTATCTATAATCAATTAATTTATTTATGTAGGCAAGTGCTTTTGTAAACATTTGAAGCCACGTGTTACTAATAAACATGAAAGAAATATTTACAAAATATTCTACATACATATATAAATACATTTACATATGTATATCGTATGTATGTAGCTATGTAATTACAACTATCATATTGTATTACTGCAAAAATTAACTGCAAATAAATATAGCAAACGACATGCCTTATTTTAAATACAAAAACAAAACAAAACGAGAAGGAAGAACCGTCTTCGGTCATGCGGAAGTCTTTATACCCTTCAAAAAGCTCTTAAACGTTTTTTACGAAATTTTTTTTAAATCGATTGGTAAGGGAGTTATGTAATTTTCAGCACCAATGAGCATATGAAACTGTCATGAGTACTGCTATACCGGCGTAACAGTATGTACGACTTGCGACTTCAGAGTTGAGCCTCCCCGTCTAATAGTCCGGGCGCACACCCTTGTTTTCGGGCCTTGCTTTCTTAATAAGATTAGGTACACCTTCGGAAAGACCTTGTTTCCGATAAATATTCCCATCACAAAAAGTTCCTCAAATCGAGGTAGAGCAGAAGGAAAGACCGTGTTTCCACTCCGCTCTTTGAATAGGCTATTAAGCGTGGTGGGAAAGTACGAGTTACCACATCTACGTGCTCATCTTGCCTAAGACGCTTCATTATTTCTGCAATGCTATCTGCGCATCTGTAAAGATTTTCCGCGTTTGTGTAAATGTTGTGAAGTCAGCCTCATCGTGCTGTCTTGGGATTCATTTGTTTATACTTGACAGCAGTTTCTTCGTTCGGCTTCATTTCGGAGACGAATCCCAACGTTGGTGCCACTCGAATATAATTCGTTGCATGACTTCTTTACGCTATCTATTACCTGGTCAGCAGGTTGGCGGTTTCGTTTGGGGCTGTCACGAGTGCAATAAATACCACCTTTAGCGGCGCCAATTTATATGCCAAAGCTGTTGTTCTCAAGTACGCTGATGTCCTGTGTGGTGCATTATACCATTAGCCGATTACATAAGGATGTACGAACTGACGCTCTTAATAAGTTTTCTTTTTTGTTGTTTTGAGCTTCCAATGCTGGGTTCATCACTTAGCTAATTGATTCATTCATGACTCAAAGCTTCAAACCCGAAAAATCAGACGTACGTATACATACATATGCACGAGGAGATTAACAAAAGTTCGGTAAGTTGATTAAAAAAAGAAGAAAGAATTCTTTTCATTGATTTCAATGCATTCCTCAAGTCTATAGATCCACTTCTGAAAACAGTCACCAAATTCTTGCATTTTAAGCTTATCAACCGCATTAATTAACTCCTCGCTGTTAGACCTAACCTTTTAAATTTTATTTTTATTTTTGGAAATAACCAGAAATCACAAGGTTTTATATCCAGAGCATATGGTGCTGGACATATTTCTTCGATCCCAGAGATCGCAATAAAATACTTGTTTTTCAGCAGTGTGGGATGGCACGTTCCTCTTTCTCCTTGCTGTCAACCAAATTTTTGAAAACTTTTGGCAAGCACTCTTCTGTGTACCATTTTGCAGTTACCGTCCGATCCTCTTCTAGCAGAAGAGCAGCTACGATTTTAGATCGGGTGAAGTAAACTGACATCATTACTTTGGCTGCTGATTTTTGTTGCTTTGATTTTACTGGTGGGCTTGCTCCTATTGGGCTCCATACCATGGATTGCTGTTTGGTTTTTGGTTCGAACTTAAGGAATCAAAATTCGTCACTAGTAATGACTTTACTGCAGTTGGTTGAGGAACCATATCTTAGTTTTCTTAGGAAAACTTTGACAAATAGTACTCGAGCCTGCTTTTGGGCCTCATTTAAAATTCGAGGTCCTCATCGAGCCGACTTTTGCGTGTATCCGTATATACGCGATACAGCCATGGCATTCAAGCCCATTTCCTTAGCAAGCATTTCTTGTCTTCATTAATTTTGGACTCCACCAGAACTGTAGTTTCGTCATCAGTGGAAGTCGACTTTCTTGGATCTCTTCCTCTACGGTGAAATGTTTACTCTGGTATCTTCGGAACCACTTAGAAAGGGTCTTTAAAGACGGTGCAATAGTTCCGTATGCAATTTGGCGTTCACTGAATATTCGTATTGGCAGTAAATTACGCCGAAACCAGAAATTAATCAAATGGCACATTTCTGTTAGCGTTGGTGGTGGAATTTTGTCTGACCTATTCTCAGCGATCTTGTGTTTTTTCGTTTCCATTAAAACCGATCGTTCTAAAATTTCACAGGAAGACTAATAAAGTCATTGCGAAGGATTTAATATTTTTAGATTTAACAAAGACAATTTGAAAGTCTCCGACTAACCCAACTTTTTTTAATCCTCCCGTATGTGCCGATAAATGTTAAAATATCTCAAGGGAAGAAGTCAAGGCCT